AGAACAGCTGACCAGTTCCTGAAACGTTCCTTAGAAATGAGGGAGCGTGTTCTGGGACCAGATCACCCTGACTGTGCCCAGTCTCTGAATAACCTGGCGGCTCTCTGCAATGAAATGAAGCAGTATGATAAAGCGGAAGAGCTTTATGAAAGAGCTTTGGACATTCGGAGGCGAGCACTAGCTCCTGATCACCCTTCTTTGGCTTACACAGTGAAGCATCTCGCAATCTTGTATAAGAAAATGGTAAGTAATCCCCGGAGTGCTTGCTTGTGCTTTATAATAACATAGCTATTAAACCATAATTGCCATCAGCAGCATCGTTTGCCTTCTGATAGATTTTTTAAAAGATTTTTTGTTGACTTTTAAAGAGAGGAAGGGAGATGGAGAGAAACATCAATGTGATGAACATCTTGGGTAGGAGGATGATCCTGCACTCCTCCTACCCAAGATCAAGCCTGCAACCTGGGCATGTGCCCTGAGAGGAATCAAACTGGCAACCTCTTGATGCTCTGGGCGATGCCCAAACATCTGAGCCACACTGGCCAGGGCTGGATAGATTATTTTCTATGAGCTTTTAAATCATAATGACATAGTTTTATAACAAATAGCTGAGTAGTACATTTAGAAATATTATTTCAGCCAAAACCGGTTTGGCTCAGTGGATAGACCATCGGCCTGTGGACTGAAGGGTCCCAGGTTCGATTCCGGTCAAGGGCATGTACCTTGGTTGTGGGCACATCCCCGGTGGGGGGTGTGCAGGAGGCAGCTGATTGATGTTTCTCTCTCATCAATGTTTCTAACTCTCTATTCCTCTCTCTTCCTCTCTCTAAAAAAAAAATATCAATAAAATACATTAAAAAAATAAAAATATTTCAGACAATAAATTAAAGCACTGGTTTGATTTTATTAAAATGTATTCTAAATACAAATGCATTCATCAGCATTCTAATTAAACTTACTCTCATTTTACATTTCAGAAGTTCTGAAATTCACCAGTGTTGTTTGCTGTGTTAAGTTATCATAAGCATAAGTAACCCAATTGTCCTGGCTAAAGGAAGAGTTTTTGTAGTTGGTTCAACAAGCATTTTAATTTCACTCTTTTCTTTGTCTACAAGTAAATGTAATGAACTAAACACCATTCTTTGCCATATGGTTCTAGCCAGAGTGATGTTTGGAACTTATATAGCTTTTTACCAAAATATGCCAGAGACATTTGCTTTCATTTGGTGGCAGTAACAGAGCAGCGATAGGCTGTCTCTGCACTTTGCAGGACCCTCTGCTGGCCATGCAGCCATGACGTTGTTGTAGTAAGAAGGCTCTGTTGTTATTATTTCTCCCCAACAAGTAAAAAAGAAATAATTGGAAAAATCTGAAAAGGATTTGGTGGAAAATTAATTTTTATTTTGATGCCATCTCCAAATTATGTATAGTAGCAAACATATAAGATGAGACAAAAGGTTTACATAAATAATGGTTATTAGTTATTATATTACTTTCCATACAAACAACTATAAACCTACTTTTGCCCACTGTACTTTAATTGCAAGGTTTTCACTTTACCAGAAACAGTGTGTAATAATGGGTGATCCTAAAGAGCCATCTGAATTACCAAACAAAATGTTTTATGCTCAATATTACTTACTAGAATTCTACTAGAATATTCTACTAGAATTTAGCTATCTTTAAACTTAACCATTAAATCTGGAGGTAATGCTGAATTTTTTTCTCAAAAATAACTTTTTGATACAAAAGTTATTTATGGAAAAGTTCTAGTCAGGTGATACATATTGCTTTAATAGTTTTATTAGATTTCACTTTTGTGTTTTAGGGGAAACTTGACAAAGCTGTACCTTTGTACGAGCTGGCTGTTGAAATCCGGCAGAAATCCTTTGGCCCAAAGCACCCTAGTGTAGCCACTGCCTTGGTGAACTTAGCTGTTCTCTATAGCCAAATGGTAAGTTCCCACACTTTAACTCTTTAAAAATGGTGTTTAGGTACGATATAGGTCAGTGGTCGGCAAACTGCAGCTCATGAGCCATGATTTGCTGCTTTGTTGACTAATGAGTTTGCTGACCACTGTGTAAGGCATAACCCTTACCCAGAAGTTTTGACTTCAGGTTAAAGACATTAGTACATTATTAAAATGTTTTTTAAGTGTTTTTCCCTAAGGCAGTGGATGGCAAACTGATTAGCCAACAGAGCAGCAAACTGCAGCTTGTGAGCCACATGTGGCTCAAGAGCCACAGTTTAGCGACCACTGATAAAGGTAAACATGAATTAGATGTGACTCAGTAAAAATAATTAAAGCAGATTGAAGGTAGTTTATCTCCAAGTGCTTCCTTTAGTACTTGAGAAATTACTGAAGTCCCACTCCTCTTCGTGTAAAGCACTGACTGACTGGTTCATTGCATAGGCTGGAGACTCCCTACATCTCTCTATCTAATATTATCTTTAAGCTTCAGCATTTGCCTGTGATGGGTGAGAAACAGGTATGGTACCAACTGGGCCATAAAGAAACACATAAAGTTTGTATTTATAACATTTGATTAAGGTCAGTGGTTACCAACCCAGGTCTAAAGCCAGTTTCTGATTTTCTATTATTTTGCCTCTCCCATGATGATTACTTATAAATTAAGCTATTAATTTACATGTTTTAGGAGGATGTTAACATTTAAAAAGAGCTTATTCAACTTCTCAGCTTAATCTAGATTACATTAATAGTAATTTCATAAACCCAGAGTGTCCAAATGAGTGTTGTTGATTTTTTTAATAAGAAAAAACACATCGAAGCCTTGCCACTGTATGAAAGAGCATTAAAGATTTACGAAGACAGCCTGGGTCGGATGCATCCTCGAGTTGGAGAAACTTTAAAAAACTTAGCTGTGCTTAGGTAAGAATTTTTTCACTTTCTGCATACAGCCTAATTGCCTTTTAGAACATCTTTTGACTCGTCATGGAACAACAACAAAATACCACTGAATGTTTTTATCTCCGACGTGGGTTGTTTCTGGTTGATTTTCTAAAACATACAATTGTATCTAGAAGTGAAATGAAGGCTACATGATGTATAGTAGCCTTCATTTCACTTCTAGATACAACTAGAAGTTTATCATGGCAAATAGTGAAGGATGGTTTACATGTGCAACCAGCTGGGTCTGGAATAATATGAGCAATTTGCTGTCCTCAGAGCTCACTTACCATGAAGTACATGTTGGCTTCTGCTTTGTGTGTGTTCAACTCAGGACATAGAGTATCTAATTTCCCTTAGCAGTTTCACTGCATCCTTCACAACAGTCTTAATGATGTCCATGAGAAACTTAAATGTTCCCTAGCAGTACAAACAGAAAGGAAAAGAGTTTGGGTGTTCTATTTTTTTCTGGTCTGTCTTAGTAAATAAATGCTCTGGAGGGGAAATGAGTGATTACTCACTTTTTTTGTGGGTGTTTTTGGAGGGGTGTATCCTATAAGATCATTTAGAATTGTTAAAAGGTTGTATTCTGATTTAAGAGGTTTTTATTTTCTCTCAAAGCTATGAAGAAGGGGATTTTGAAAAAGCTGCTGAACTGTACAAAAGAGCGATGGAAATAAAAGAAGCAGAAACATCACTTTTGGGTGGAAAAGCTCCTTCCCGACACTCATCAAGTGGAGATACATTTAGTGTAAAAACAACCCATTCTCCTAATGTTTTCCTTCATCAAGGACAAAGGTAGTAGCAGCAATCACAATTCACTGAAAGTGCGTATTATAAGAAAATAATGAAAAAACATTTGGGACATTAGAATTTAAAACTTACTAAAAATGTTTTTAAGAAATTTTATTTTTACTTTGTCTGATTTAAGATGTATTTGTATTAAATTGTACTGGGCTACATTGCAGTTTGAATCATAATTATGTCCTTTTAGTTAAAAGAGTTAACTTTCCAGTTGTGGGATCCAGGGCTACAGACGTTAGAACACTAAGATGCCGTGAAGAATGAGTTGGTCTCTGTTCAACAACAGCTGGCAGAGCAGTTACGCAGAGTTTAAGAACTGCGTGATTCTTCTCATCTCTCAAAAGCTACTTTACCTCACCATTCCTTATGTTCCTTTTCCAACAGTAGTCTAGCCCAGTTCTCTACCTCAAAAAAAGTTTCAAGGAATAAAGGGATAACGTTTATGAAACGTATGAATTGTCTCTATAAAGTGACTAGTAACGGGAATCTCTGCTACTTTTTTTTCTTCAAATTATACCTTTTCCTTGAGCAGATTGGGCCAAGTCCTCTACTTTCTGTGCTCTGTATATTGTATATAATTTGTCTGTGTAGTATATGCATAATCTGAAGTCATTAATGCAGCAACAAATCAAGCTGTTGGCATTCTTTGACCTTACCCAAAATATGGACGTGACATTCTCCTCGATTTTCTTAAATGGCCTAACTCTGTCTCTTCATTTATCTCCAACTCAAATTAGTCTGCCTTTTATACTGAAAATTAAATATTTTTGTAGCTTTTGTAAATATTGCCACATTTTGAATATTATTTTGTACCATCTATGTATTTATATATAATAAAATCTTCAATTTTAATACTTGGTAAAAGACATAATAACCATACTTGACTGTTTTAAAATAAAATGCAATTTTAAGTTCCCCTTTTTCTACTCAATACAAGAGGGTTATATAACTAAAAAAATACATTACCAAAAGGACTGCAGATTGTCACTACTCACTGAGTAGTTGACTCATCTTGAGCTTTGGTGACTGTATAGGCTTTGGTGACCTTAAGGCCTGGCTACTCACTGGGTGGTCCATGAACCCAACATTGTCAGCCTACAAATACAATTTAGACATTCCTATCTTCAAAGCAAAAAATAAAAAATAAAAAAATAAAAAATCGTCAAAATAGGAGATTGGCAATAACTGTCTACAGATCTTACCTTGGCTTCTGTCTTCTCCTCATGACATTGGGAACATGAGTGACATGGGCACTCACTCAAATAATGGTTACAAATGCATGTTTTTTTATTGGTCTCCAAACCATTAGAATTTTATTTTAACCAAGGCTCTCAAAGCCTTCATTATTTGTATACAACTCTAGGAAAAAAGTTTTATCAATTTATGATTTAGAAGTCATAATCTTGGAAAATAATACTCTTCCAGTAAATAAATATATCAGTCATTTCAGAGGCACTTTAGGCCTCTTTAATGCCCTATCCAGGACAACCCCTTTCCAATATTTAATTTCCTGGGGAATCAAATTTAAGTGAAATAAAGTATTTATAAGGTAGCCCATATCATGAGTACAATCTAGGTGAGCTTAGCCTGAATTTATCCATTACTCCTCAATAAAGCAGAGTGATTCCAGGTATATGTCCATAGATGCAATGATTTCCTTGGTCAATGCAGAAATATAATTTGTACTTCCTCAAAGGATCTGTATCTGTCTACCCATGGAAAAAAACTTTTTAGTTGCCTGATTTTGAATATAGAATCCATAAGTTTACAACTTTTCCATTGACTATATTTCAATTTGTAATCAGGAAACATTTGAAAAACTTATTATTTTATAGGTTAACTGTTTTAAATTCATTGCTTGCCAAGTTAGTAGTACTGGCAGTTCTCTTGTAGAGAACAATACCAAAACAATGACTACATGGCCTGCTAACTCAAATCAACAGGTTGTACCTCTTGCCCTTTTCCCTGTATTTCAGGACCACATGTTGCTTTATTGCCCACGGCCCAAACCACAAGGATTACTGGAAAGAAAAGGAATGTGTACATACAGCATCAAATTGGTCCTTTCTCCCAAAAGGCCAACACATTTCAATGGCTAAGTTTTCAACAAAACTTAAAACTGCCTAAAATAATCCTTTGAAATTTTCTTACTAGAATGAAACATGAGATTTAGGAGAGTTATTTAGTTGTGGGTGAGGTAATAAGAAGCAACAGTAATAGTATTTTCAAAAAGTATAACAATTTAGCAAAGAATACACATCAATTGATGTTCCCTAAGTTTTGTCAGTTTTAAAATGACTTTTTAATTGCAAAGGAATAGGTTTAAACTCAGAAAATATAGTCCAGTCCATTATCTACATATTCTTCATTTTGGCCATGAGATCTTCCAAGCTTTCACCAGAATCTTCCACTGTTACATCAGGAACAGAATCTTCTTGCTATCAACAAGTGAGGGAAACATAGTGAAAAAACAACCACATAAAATTCTTGATGCTTAGAAATATATAATCAGTAAGCTTTAACCATGTTCTACAAGTTTACAAAGTAAACTTTCTTTAGTACATATGCCTTCTAATTTTTAGGAGAGACAAAGTCCTTTACTTTCCTCACTAGTATTTTGATTTATAAGGCAGTAATTTCAATATTCCTACGACATCTACTAAAGTGATACTTTTAAATGGTATTGTGGCTAAAGCTACCAATTTAGAAATACGATATTTTCATTTAATCCAAATCTATTTTACCTGATCCATTAATAACTGAACAAAACTATTTTATATTTGTTTTCAAACAGTTAAATTGTGCTGTGCATATGTCCATAATAGAATACATCTCTTTCAGAAATCTTAATGCCTATAGTAAAATATCTAATACAGGAAGTACTGTGTTGGCATTATAAAGGATGAAGATGAAAGATAAACACTTTTTTCATGTTATTTACTTGTGGTAAATCAGATTTTAGATGTACCTGTTGGGGAACTGTATAGGCCACTGTAATGCCTTCAGGTAAGTCAGGAACTGGACCTGAAGAATTTTTTAGTTCCTCTTCTGAAACCTCAGATACCAACTCAATACCTGTAGAGTTAAATTTGACCTTATTACAGTTTTCGAGGAACTTAAGCAATAACAACTCAAAACTTGTATAATGTTAATTATAATGGCATTCCCTCCCATAAAAGATATGTCGTATGCTGCTATTTCCATTTATGAAAAGATTCCTACCCCACTCATTGTCTTCATGTATTATCTCTTCCTCTTCTTGAACAACCTCCTTTTTGGGCAGTGCTGCTACCTTTTTCTGTAGAAATCAAACAGTATCAAAGTATTTTTATTCATTCTCAGTTCTCCCAAGCATCCTATATGATAAAAACCTAATATTCTAAGTGTCAGGCCATCTGTTCAACCAATCAAAGTGTAATATGCTAATGATAAGCTAAAGCAGCTCAACCGCTCGCTATGATGTGCACTAACCACCAGGGGATAGTCGATAGGTCGACCAGTCGCTATGATATGTTCTGACCACCAGGGGGTATGTGCTCCAACTGGTAGGTTAGCTTGCTGCTGGGGTCTGGCCAATTGTGACAGTGAGCGGGTTGGACACGCCCCGGAGCACTCCTGAGGTATCTCCCCAGCTGGCCAACTTCCCGCATCCCTCCCCAGCCCTGATCATGCACCAGTGGGATCCCTTGACCTGGCCTGCATCCTCTCACAATCTGGGACCCCTTGGGGTAGGGGTGTCGAACTCAATCAGAGAAGGGGCCAAAATCTAAAATCCAGCCTAAATCGCGGGCCGAATGGTTTACTGAACAGTCATAAACTGTCATTGTGATGGAAACGCAGCGGAGTGCAGTGATGACAGCGCAGTGCGGGCCACATTGCAAGGCCTGGCGGGACGGATTTGGCCCGCGGGCCTTGTGTTTGACACATGTGCCTTGGGGAATGTCAGAGAGCCGGTTTTAGCCCAATCCCGCAGGCCAGGCTGAGGGATGCCACTGGTACACGATTTTGTGCACTGGGCCACTAGTTAATAATTCAGGTAGGCTTTTTATCCTACCAAAAGCAAAAAAGGACTTTTAACAGAATTTTCATTTGGAGACATGGTGAATAAATTAAAAGCTTAAGGACCCAGAATCCAATTATCTTAAATTCCAAATCTAAGTTTTTGGGTTTTTTTTCTTTTTTAAAGCTATTAACTTATGCAACATGTTCTCTCACACATTCTCACAGACTGGATATACCTTATATTCTTCCTGCTGTTTCCTACAGTTTTTGTCATTGCACTGAGGATTTGGCTTCATGGACATAGTAGGAAAGAAATCTTGCATTGCATTGTATCCGAGGTAAAAACTAACAGTACCAAATTTTAACAGAAACCTACAAAAACAAATCAAAGTAGACTTAAATAAATAAAAAGATAAAAATATTTTTAAAAACAGATTACAGGGCCTGGCTCATATTTGTTGGACGAAAGCAGGAAAGAAAACTCTATCAGCCATAGAACTCATTTTTGAACTTCTAATAAAGATAAAATGCTGCTGAAACCAGTTTGGCTCAATGGATAGAGCATCAGCTTGGGGACTGAAGGGTCCCAGGTTCAATTCCAGTGAAGGGCATGTACCTTGGTTGCGGGCATATCCCCAGTAGGGGGTATGCAAGAGGCAGCTGATTGATGACTCTCTCTCATCGATGTTTCTAACTCTCTATCTCTCTCCCTTCCTCTCTGTACAAAATCAATAAAATATATTAAAAAAAAAGATAAAATGCTGCCAATTAAACTAAGATTATGTTAACAACTTTAAAAAGCATGCTGATTTTAGAGAGATTAAATGTAGAAGAATGATATATTAAAAATTCCTGAGATATACTAAATCTAACCAATTTAAAATATTTTTATATAAAACTTACTATAAAGTTTACAATCTTAAATGTATAGTTCAATACAATTTTATAAATGTATTCACCCATGTAGTCACTACCAGATCAAAATTATAGAACATTTCCAGTATACCACAAAGCTTTCTATGCTCCCTGCTGGTCAAATCTGATTCTTTTTAGAAAATCATGTATATAAAGTAAACAACAAAAGAAAAAATATTTGCAAATTTATGTTCTTTTTTTTATTGTTTTATAGAAAGAGAAACATCAATCTTTGTTTTGCTGGTTGATTCTTGTTTTTTAAATTTTATTTATTGACTGATTTTTGGAGAAAGGAAGGGAGGAGGAGAAAAAGAAACATTGGTTTGTTGTTCCATATATTTATGCATTCTTTGGTTGTTTCTTATATGTGCCCTGACAGGGGATCGAACCTGCAACCTTCATGCATCAGGATGTCACACTAACCAACTGAGCTACTCAGCCAGGGTGTAAATTTATTTTCTTAACCCTTTGCACTCCGAACCATTCTGGACATTGGCTACCAGCTACTCGACGCTACTTTGCGGTGGAAACATGCGTTAAAATAACTCAATTCCTCGTAATCATTAATAAACTGCAATGTCCCCTGAGAGGGGACATCCGAGTGATATGCTAGAATTCCGATGTCCCCTGAGAGGGGACAGCGGAGTGCAAAGGGTTAATATACATAAAGGAAAAAACAAATTGAGCAGAGAATATGAGCAAATAATTCACACAAAAGTACAAGTGCTCAAATTATCACAAATAACAAAATTGAGATACCCATTCTTCACCTATTAGATTCACCCAGATTAAATAGTTTTGCAATATCAAATTATATCAAAGGTGTGGATGGATTAGGTACTCCTACACTGTGATGGAATGTACAATCCCTCTGAAAGAAAAATTTAGTAATTAGTCAAAAAAATTTTGCATAAGCCCAGAAAATCCACGCCTAAAAATTAAAACTGTACAAAAATCTAGTATACCAAGATATATGAAAAGCTACTGTTTGCAGCATTAATAACTTAAAATCAATAAGTAGCCTAAATGTCCATCAATAGAGGGCTTATACTATAAATATGACATGTAAGAGAGTAATTTATAGCCATGATTTTCCCCCACTTCAGATCATTCTATGAAATGTTTAGGGAGTTTGCACAAGCTATAAAATAGCTCTAAACAGTTGCTTTAAGAGTTCTTATGTATGCTTTTGACAATATCTTTGCTAGTTGTGGACACTTCTGATATCAGAGTGCCTCACTATAGCATGTTGCAGTTTGTTCTTACATTGGAGGCTTAGGAAACATACCTAAGCTTATTCGAGTTGCAACAAAAAATGGCCTGAGAGAGGGAACACCTAAAGGACTTATACTTTTAATTAAGAGTGAATTGATTCAAAATCTCTTTGACATTAATTTTAGCTGTAAAGAAACCTTTGTCCTTTTTAGTTACATTCTAAGTCAATGATTTTCAACTGGTGTGTTGTAATAATTTTTTTTTAATTTGTTTTTATGACTTCAGAGAGAAAGAGGAAGGGAGAGAGAGAGGGAAAAAAAACATTGATGAGAGAGAAGCATTGATTGGCCACCTCCTGCATGCCATCAAGCCTGTAACAGAGTATGTGCCCTGACCAGGAATGGAATCAGTGATCTCCTGGTACACAGGACAACACCCAACCGAGCCACACTGACCAGGGATGCAAGAATTTTTAAAACATGCAATACCTGTCCATTTAAATTATGTCTAGTAAGGTATATTACATACAAATAAAAAGAATATGATATACATAGTATATAAAATAAAAATATATGTATATTTAAAACTAAATTTAAAAAACTAAGTTAAATACTTTGCTGATAGTTCCTATATTTAAAACACTTCATGAAGTAGCTTTTTAAAAAAAATCAAACAAGACTATTCAGAAAAATTAACCTTCACTCACTTTAACACATTTTGTACCAAGATCCCAGCAACCACGCCCATAGTGGTAGGAAGACTGGCTGCACAAACACCCTCTCGTTTCAGAGTCTTTTCATCAATATTTGCAGCAACTACAAGTGGCGGGGCACACTACATGAAAAAGAATGAGAGAAAATATATTTCAAAGAAAGGGAAAAAGTATGTGTGCCAAGTAGCAGTTAATCATATTCAAAGTCTGTTTTTCTTTGAACTGTAATAAATATTCAATGCCCCTAAGAACTCTTGTATTTAGTGAAAAATAATTCAAAATTTATTATACATACCGCAAAACAAGCAGATTCTCCGGGAATCATAAGCTGTATGTGCCCCGAAACGGCATTTTCACTGACCCCAGACTCCATCCATGTTTGTCCAAGTTCATTACAAGCCTTGGTAGAAGTAGACAAAAATAAAATAAAAGAACATAAAAGAACAAGATATAATTTACCATGATGTCTTTTCCTAAAAAAAGCGGCATTAACTAAATGGATTACCATGAATTTTTTTAAATTAGTTTTCAAAATAAAAAAATTAAAGTTATAAAAAATGGAATTCCTTGGCAATTGTCACACTCTGTTTAAAATAAACTGACAGGTCTGGGGAGAGGTTAATGGGGGGGGGGGGAGGAAACATACTTTCAACAATAAAGAATTAAAAATTTAAAAAATAATAAATAAAAATAAACTGACAGGTAAGCAGTCAATAAATATCTAATTAAATTAATTTTATTGGATTTCTTATCATATTAATGTAAAACTTCATTTTTCTAAAATAATTTTGGCAACAAAAATGCAAAACTTCATTTGAAAAGCTGAAAGCACAACAATTTAAAGATTCAGTTTTATTTTTCAGAAACCATGTTTAAAGGCAATTTATATGTATTTCATCTTTATTGAAAAGTAAAGTAACAAAAGTTAAAACCAAAGCTGACCAAGAGTATTGTAAGATATTCATTTATTTTAAAAACTGTACACCACAACTATCTGCTATTTTATAGTTTCCTCTTTTGACATCATTGAGTGGGATATTGAAACCTATGAGATAATAGCAAGGCTAAGCAGGTCCCACAGCCATTAGAAAACATTTCAAAAGTAAACTAAGGGAACATTAAAAATAAATAAAACACATTATAAAAGAGTTTAGATGCAGAACAATTTTTAGGATGGGAAATATATACTGATAGGAGATATAGAATAGATAAGTCCATGAGAGTAACATTTTACACAGTAAGAATACTCACTGTATTTATTGTCATTCGAGCTTCAAAATTATCCACACAGCTAAGAACTAGGTCAACAGGTTTTCCATCTTCTAATCCACCATTACTAGGCATAGGAAATAAATATTATTTGAAAAAATCAGGACACAAATACATTCTAATTAGATTTTATTTGTTCAGTCACACAATTACTATTTCAGTAAATGTTTAAGTATAATTATAATATACTAAGTATTGAATATTAAAGATCCAGTATATATAAAGTATTGAGTAACTATTATGAATATAACATCAATGATACTATGGTATTTTTTACACAAGACCTACAAGGATGCAAGTATAAATTCTGTTTACAAAAGTTACCATTTACATATTAGCTTTCAGACTTTTATTCAAATGTAATGAGTTAATTGAATAAAATTCATTATTTTAGTGGTGTCACAAGAGTCTCTGCAGAAAACCACTTTCAGACAGAAACATATTCTAGAACACAAAAATGTATAATTAAGGATTCCTTATTATACTATTATAATAATAGGGGTTTTTTTTTATTGGTTTTTCTTTTGTTATTACCACTGTATTTTGGACAATACATACTTTTTACTGAGCTCCCAGTATGTAAAAATTACGCAAAAATTAATTATTCTAAAAACAAAACTATGTTTCATTCTATCAATGCATTGCATTAATCATCAGCACATTTTCTATAATACTTATTTAACTGAGCTGGACATGTGCAAAATATTCATAAATAAAATTTTACCTTATTCTATCCATGAAATGTTGAAAGTTTTCTACTGTGGTTATATTATAGTTGTGTACTTCAAAAAGAACATCAGGATTAATGTTCCTAAGAGGGGAAAAAGGAATGATTATAGTAGGAATAGTGAGAGAAAGCAAGAAAAAGTACTAAAGATCATTTAACAGAGATCAGAGAAATGGAATTTAAGCTATCCAAAGAAAATCCTGTCCTCTTCTACTTCTTTTGTCCCACATCAAGGATACATTCAAGGACTAGGTTTATAACGTGATTATCAGAAGGCTTACAAAAATGTTCCCACAGCCTGTGAACTGGAAATTAAGTCTTATCCTCTCTGTTAGCTACATTTCAGCCTGACAAAAGAGCTCCTAATTCCTTTTTCAATTCAGTGCAGCATGTTTGGGCTCACAAAGAAAATTCCTAGAGCAAGGGTTGGCCACTTATGGCCTTTCCAAAATTGACCTGCCACGTATTTTGTAAGGTCTGCAAGCTAATAATGGCTTTTAAATTTTTAAGTGGGTGCAAAAAAGAAAGTCAAAAGAACAACAATCATTTCATGACATATAAAAAAACATAAAATTTTTATTTCAGAGCATAAAGTTTTATTGGAGCAGAGCCTTCTTCATTCATTTTTATATTGCCTATAGATGCTATCACACTATAAGTGCACAGTTGAGCAGTTTTGACAGAAACCATACGGCCCTCAAAGCCTAAAGTATTTACTATCTAGTCCTATAAGGAAAAAGGTTGCCAAATCAGATCCAAGAGATAAGAGAATTCTTTGAAATCTGCATTCCTGTAGAGAAAAATGCAGGTCCATTTATGCATTAGATTCACTCATACCAAATACACAAAGATTTCACTAAATAGTCTTTAATTGCTATTCCACTTACCTCAAAGTATGTTCTGCTGCTTGAACTTTACTTAATCCTGCTTGATGAGGTTGGAAGAAAAGTCTATTCATATTGGCCAGTTCCACTTTGTCATAGTCAAAGAGTAGTAACTAAAATGAAAATAGTGATATTCTGATGAAAAACCTAAGAATGAATGGACTGGTGGGTTTTACAGTTGATGGGTTTAACAGTTTGGCAGTAATAATAAACTCTGAAACTCTAGGTGTCAATATTAACTCATTCAATGACCATATGAGGTAAGTATGTAGATACTATTATCCTCATTTTAGAAAGAACTAGGACACTTGCTCAAAAGCCACTGAGTTAATTTACAACAGAAAAGGGATTTGAATTCAAACATTCTCAAGGCAGCATCTCCAAAATATGATTTATTTAAGCTCAACAGTATTTACTAGATCAGGCCACAATGCAGTACTGACTCTAAATTATTTGTTAAGAAATTAATGTTCATTTTATTTCATTCCTATTTTTGACAAAAGCCAAGAACTCATTAGATAAATAAAAATTTTCAATAAGAAAAATACGAATGCCATAACTATAGTAAAGCAAGACTCCTTTTGTGAATCTGACACTACATCTACAACCATGCCATGGCTTATGCATTATTCCAAACAGAATTACTAACCAACCACTTAATTATTGTTTCCTGCTATATATTTAGAAATGACACTGTTATACACACACACACACACACACACACTTTAAAACAACCAAAAGATCCCAATTTTTATGAGACCAGGTTGGACCCAAGGATTGCCAAGTTCCCTTCCTTGGTCTAAAATTCTGTGACTTTGTGATACAATTCTCAGCATCCTAAACTTAACAGTAAAAACAAAAATGGTATTTTCTTCTCAATACAGAAACACTAAGCTGGCCCATAAAAACGGCATATAAGTAACCCTTAAAATCTTGGTAGAAAAGATAATACTTATGACTCCTATGATAATTTTCTAAACCTGCAGTCTCCAAAATATGATTTATTTAAGCTCAACAATATTTACTAGATCAGGCCAAGCATTAAGTCTGATTTTTGGCCTCAAAGCTGATTTATGAATAAGTTGCAGGAAATCCTAAATTTGGGGACAAGTGGTGTGACTCTGTCACTAATTAGCTCCAATCATGAATAAGACACTTTCACTTTTTTAGGGCTTTTCCTCATCTATAAAATAAAGCAGCTGATATGGATCTGGTAATCCAGGCTATGCTGAGGATTCTGGAAACTTTCAGGAATAAGACATGGTCTCTGAGTCTCCAATCTTTCACTTCCCTACTTCAAGAATTACCTTTTTTTTTTTTTTAATCTGTTTTACACATTGGAGAAAGAGTTTTGAAATTTACCTATGTGTAGATCCTTAGCATATAACCTTGAGTGCACACTGGAATCACTTAGGAAGTTTTTTAAAAATACAGATGTCTGGGTCCCATTCCCAGAGATTCTGATTAACTTTTTATGGGGTGCAGTGTGGACATCAGAATTTTTTTAAACTTCTCAGGTAATTCTCATTACAGCAGTGTCTGATAATCACTGTTCTAGATCCTTGCTACTCATAATGTGGCCTAGGCTAGCAATATCAGCATTACCTAAAACTAGTTAAAAATACGGAAGCACTTCCTCAACTTAAGTATGCATATGAATCATCAGCAATCTTGTTAAATACAGATTCTGATTCATGTCTAGGGTGGGCCTGGGAGTCTTCATATCTAACAAGCTCCCAGGTGATGTTGATGCTACTACTTCAGGGACCCGCCTTTGAGTAGCAAAGATCCAGAGATTCTTAAACTGCCATTCCTGGAATAACATCAGAATCACATGGGAACTTGTTAAAAATTAAAATTCTTAGATCCACCTGAAGCCTACAGGATCAAAACCACCAAGGCAGGATCTGGCAAACTGTGGTTTAATAAGCCTTCCAAGGGCTTCTGATGCACACTCAAACCTGAAAATCATGGATCTTATCCTTGGTCAGTCAACTATAAGCAACTGTTGACTGGCTTTTGTAAGTCTCTTTATAGACTGAAATGTTAAATATTTTTAGTATTTTGATGTTGTCTTTTCTATATTGATAAATGAATGCCAACTTTGAAACCACTTTCCTTTAAAAATTTGGTGCATGGAGTAAACCAACATATTAAAAAAATATTGATAAACTTTATGGGAAAGTGCATGCTTTATCAAAATGACAAATTAAAGGGTATACATTTGTGGAAAGCTCATGTATTCAACCATATATATTTAACATCATGGAATCAAGCTTTATAAGCCTAAGATTGGTAGACTGATACCTAGTATAATGTCACTTCTCTTTCTTATCCACAATGTAAACCAATTTAGAAAAAAAAATAAACATACTATATATATATATATATATATATATATAGTACACACACACACACAATACATGAAATTAAAAAACATCTGGAGCATTCTCTAGTTCAATTTCAAACTCTTAAATCCAAATTATTTATATATTACTCCAAACAAAAATGTTCCTGAACATAATTAGGTAGTCCTTGTTTTAAATCAGCAATAATATCAGCTTCCAATTTGGTGGGGTTATGTCTTAACCCCCTCAGGTAGAAAGAAAAATCTGAATAAATACACCACAAATCAATAAACCATCAATAATGGGGGAGGGGGGGGTTACGCAGATTATAATTTGTACCTGATTTATTCCAGAAGTGAGTAGTTCTCTACATGATAGGCCAAGAGAAATGTTTTTACCTTACCAATGCCACATCTTGTCAGCATTTCAGCAGTCACACTACCAACTCCACCAACACCTACTATTGCTACAGCAAAGGTACGGATTTTCTGTAAAATGAAAATTTATATATGTCTTGGTTAATAAGTCTTCCTCAAAAATTATTTTAATTTACTGAAATCATCTTCAAAAACTTGGAAAAGTTTATCATACCTCATAGTCGCTTACAATTCCCATTCGTTTCAATGCCATCAGGCGGCTTAAAACAAAGAAAAAAAAATGTTTTAAAGGTTACACAATCTTAGTGACATAGGTAAACGTACATCACAGAAAACAAACGCCAAATTTCAATCGTTACTGATCTTTTAAAAGAGGAGAAATCTTTTCATCAGTTCCATTTTACCAGATGAAACTAAATCAGTGGAGCAGCTTTAAGAACACTAAAGCCTGAATACACTTTCAGCCCATGGAACAAGATTTTTTAAATTGGAAATAATTTTCTCCCTATGTTTCTAAGATATGACTGCAGTGTCTTCTAGCTTCTGGAATTTTATGAGGTGCCTACTGTGAATCTATTTTCATCCATTGTGCTGAGTACTTAGTGGACACTATCTAATTGTTTTTCAGTTCTGGGAAATTTCCTTGAATTTGATGATTTCTTGTTTGTTTGGTTTGTTTTTCCTGGATTATCTTTCTGGAATTCCTATTATTTGCAAGCTGAGGACCACTTGAACTGGCCCTCTATTCTTTTTTCTTTTTGTTTTTTTAATATATATTTTATTGATTTTTTTTTTTTTTTTTTTACAGAGAGGAAGGGAGAGGGATAGAGAGTTAGAAACATCAGTGAGAGAGAAACATGGATCAGCTGCCTCCTGCACACTCCCAACTGGGTATGTGCACGCAACCAAGGTACATGCCCTTGTCTGGTATCAAATCTGGGACCCTTCACAGACTGACGCTCTATCCACTGAGCCAAACCGGTTAGGGCACAACTGCCATTTCTTACACAGCAGTGTTAATAAAGACAAAAGGTGCAAATAAGAAAATACTAAATGTTTAGATTTGAGTTCTGAAAGTTTGAGATCATTACAATGTCAACGGGTCATCTCATGTTAAAATAATGCCTGAAAGATTCATCTAAATATATCCTCTACATCTCTTTGCTTCTCAGTCTTGGGTGGAAAATTTCAAAATTTCCATTTGTAAAATTAGAAAATGTTTAAGGATGCCAAATGGAGTAGTTTCCACTCGTTCTGGTTAGAGACGTCAGCTCATACTTACTCAAACTCTTAAAAATGTTGATCATAAACTCTTCTTGTTTGGCAACACAGTTAAAATACATGCACTTTCCTTAAAGAAAAAGAGCAACAGTAACACCTTTCCTGTTTCACCTACTTTCAAAACTATCCAATTGTTTAGCCACACTAAGTGGCTTATTTCTTTTTAATGGGGAGACAGTTTCAAGTGAACATGGAGCAGGCCAGGCCTTTTTATGTAGCACCAGTTCCATGACCCGAGGCAAGTCCCAGCAGCATTCCAAGCCTCAATGATCTCACCTATAAAAAGGAAGTAAAATAACAGTAGACAGCTCCTAGGGTTGTGGTGAGGAGGAAAATGCATGAGTGACATCGCATGCAAAGTGCTCAGCAGGTTAGTGAAAGCTCAGGTAATGTCAGCCTGGGTACTGACAATCAAGTCTTGTACAACGCTTCACATGCATGTACAAACTAGTCTAAGAATTGTACATACACCGAGGTTTCCCATACACAGCGCTCACACCTCTGACAGAGACAGATAACACCATTCTCCCCTCGCCCAAAGTTAAGCAGCTACTAAGAGTGGGGATGGGAATCCAATGGGGCTGACGCTCCTGTCCTTCCCCTAACCCAGTGGTCAGCAAACGCATCAGTCAACAGAGCCCAATGTCAACAACAGTACGACGATTGAAATTTCTTTGGAGAGCCACATTTTTTAAACTTAAACTTCTTCTAACGCCACTTCTTCAAAATAGACTCGGCCAGGCCGTGGTGTTTTGTGGAAGAGCCACACTCAAGGGGCCAGAGAGCCTCAGTTTGCCAACCATGGCCCTAACCACTGCGCGGTATTCAGCCTGTGGAATTAACAAACCTTCTTAGGACACGAGAAAAAAAGAGGGGGCAGATCTCGTAAAACCCAATGGCTTCAGAGCTAAACAAGCTCTGCCCACTACGCCCCCGATTGAGAAGCGTTTATGATGTGACCAGATTTTAAAATTGGTAAAGCGGGACACCATTGACAGGAGGGTGGGGATGGGGGGGTTCTTGATTAAAAATTTGGTCTATATGGAGCAACAAAAATTTTCATAGAACGCAAAAATAGTATTGTAATATTTTTAAAACGCAGCGGGACACGGGACAAATTGTTGAAAAGCGGGACTGTCCCGCCCAAAGCGGGACGTCTGGTCACCTTATTTTATGAGACTCGAAGTTTACGTTTAGCGGATTTTATATTTGATGTTGTGGCTTTCTGCAAGTTGTTCCTGTGGGTTTTATGGGGCCGACACACGGAGCCAGGCGCATCAGGAAACTGGACACGTGTCCGGGGCAGGCACGGGAGCAGTACCATATGGCTGATTCACTTGTGGTTTTTATTAGTTTAAGAGAAAGAACATCTTCGATCTGTATTAAGGCCTTGCCTCGTCTGTTTGGAAACAGGACCCCAACCCAAGGGAAGGGAGGTGGGAGGCCGCGCGGGGTGTGCGGAGCGCCCCAGTCCCGGCCGCTCCGGGAAGGCGGCCTCGCCCCCCACGCCCGCCCCCGGCCCGCGGTCACCTGTAGGGGTTGGAGTCCACCACCTCCGGGCTCATCTTCGCGATGCGGACGCGGCCGCCCCCTCCGTCGCCGGCCCCCAGCGCCCGCCGGCTTCGCTCCTGGGCCAGCTCCCGCTCCAGCTCCTGCACCCGCTGCCGCAGCCGCTCCTCCGCCGGCTCGGCCATGGCTGCGGGGACTCCGGCCGCCAACGCTCCCTGCCCCGGCCGCCGCCGCCGCCGCCGCCCCACAGTGACAGGGTCGCTGGCCCGAACGAACGGAGAATCTAAGGGGGCACCGATCGGCCCCCCGAGCCCAGAACCCTGGGGAAGGGCTCCCAGCGCCTCACAGAAAGACACGTCTCCGCTGCTCCAGCGGCACCACTTCCGGTTGCAGTCACCGCTCCCTCTGAGCACACACACACACAACACCACACACACACACACACACACACTCCCTCTAACTTGTCTCCTTTGCCGGGTCCTGTGAGACCAGGCCTCAGCAGGGCCGAGGTCCTAAGCGTCCAGAGCGGGCGGCCGGCGATATTGCCATTTCGAGTGGGCGGCTCAGGGAAACACTGGGAACTTTTCTTCCTGGGCTCGGGGTCCACACGGACCCTTTTCCGAAGCGGACCCTCTAGGTCTTCCGCCACAGGCTTAGAGGGGGCAGAGGCCCCTGCGTTCTTCGTTGCCGGTAGCGACGGACGCGGCTTTGCTGGCGTTAAGATGGAGGTCTCCGATTGTGAGGCTGACCGCTCATTTAAAATCCCAACACAAGAGAGGTTCTCCGGGCATTTCCCAAACAGAGCGGAAACCACCAGGGTTCCGCGGGCCAGTGTTGCTCAGCAACGGTGCCTAGCTCGTGTGTGATTGGCTGGAGCCGGGCTGGGCGCAGGCGGGCCTCGTCCCAGGCCACGCCCACTTGGCTATAAAGGAACCCCTCCCGGCGTGGAAAGTGTGTGGGTTCCACAGCGGCCGACATGGAGAACCGAGTCTCCTGCGAGCCAGATGCCGCCGAAGTGCTGCCTCAGCACAAGTTCGACTGCGGGCCCTTGGAGGCCTACCTCAGCCAGCACTTGCCCGGCTTTGGGGCCCAGCCCGAGGCCAAGCTGACCATTGCCCAGTACAGGTATCTCCACTAGCCTCCTCCTCCTCCTCCAGTGGAAACAAATCTGTGCTTCGTGCTTTTCTCCCTTGGTCCCTGGGTGGGTTCCCAATGCCCCGCCACCCCAGTTTCTTCTGTAAGGACACACTCTGCAGGCGGGAGCTGGCATTGCACTCGGGGGAATTTCCAATTCGCGGCCAATAATGGAAGAGATTCTATTCACGATTCCAACTAGGAGAAAGGAATCTCTGTTCAAGGATCCAATTATGTGCCTCCGGGATTCACTGAGGCTTGGAAGCTCTGTGGGGTACACAGAGGCCTTCGCTCAACTTTTTTTCTATAACCATTAACTTCTTCCCCCATACACCGAGAAACAAGTGTCATTCCTCTTCCCCCACACCGAGAAACAGGTGTTAGTCCTTCATAATCGGCCATATTCTCGAAGGCTTAATGGCCCCTGCTGCGGGATTCGAATTCTAATGGCAGATTTTCCACTTGGCAAATCTCACCACCAGTTTGGGCTTTGGTGTTTTTTTTTTGAAGTGAGGGATTGGAACTGAAAGACAATCCTGACAGTACTGTTTTCCACCTTGAGTCTAGCCCTAGCCTGATGTTTTATAATAGAAATTGTTTTTAAGAAATACTTTATTCTAAAAAATAGTATTTTGGTAAACAGAGAGGTAGAAAAACAGTCCCGGCTTCCAGAAAATTAGATCTGCCAGTTACTGGAAATGTAAATATCTATAATAACAAAAGCATAATGTGCTAATTAGACTGGATGTTCTTCCAGGTGCTCTAGTGTTACATAAACTCTCTGAGAGTTAGTTTTCTAATCTGTAATAAATACCCAACTGTCCCGAGTAATCCTGATAATAAGTGAAAGGACTTAAACATTCAACCGAACTATGTACCAGTGGTATTTATCACTACCATCTATATTCCTGATTAGAGTGGGGGGGGGGGGGGAGAAATAGTGGCAAAGGTCATGGATAAAAGAGGGTTTTGAGGTATAATTCAGGCATAAGGCACCTGGTCCCAATAGTCAACGGAGGATGAAGGAGAAGATGGAATAAAATAAAAAAAATAGCTGAGATTTCTAGCTTAGACATTTGTGTGTTGTAACAAACTAAAACCAAAGTTCAAATTTCAACTAAGCCATTTGCTGTGGAAATCTGGACGACGATTTAACCCCTTTGAGCAGTAAGTTCTCCTTTGGCAAAATGGAGACAGTCATATGTATCTCCGAGAATTGTTGGAGATTTATCTAATTGAAAAAGACCTAATTCTGAATCAGATTGGATGCTAAATTAACCAGGATTGTGCTTGATAAATGTAATAAAATGTGGCGTAAATAGTACAGGCATACCTATTCTATTGCAATTCCTTATTTCACTTCACAGGTGTTGTGTTTTTTACAAATTGAAGGCAAAAACCTTCCTCCAGCAAAAAGACTAAAACTCACTTATTGCATTAGTCTGGAACCAAATCTGCAGTATCTCTGAGGTATGCCTACATAGAATATGGGTAGAACGATCCCACAGAAAATACAGATTTCCTTCCAGGACACATGAAAAAAGCTTATGAAAATTGAAGACATGTTGGGCCACAAAGAAAGTTTCAAAAATTCTGAAGTGTCAATCTTAAAAAAAAAAAAAAATCGGAATATAAATGCCAGAAGTTTATAAAACAACTGAAGAAAGACAGCTATCATATACATGTTTAGAAATGAATTGATTCATGGATTTAAAAAGCCAATAATTAAATAAACTGGTTAAAAGGTTACTAAACAGAATGTATAAAGAACTCTAATAGCCCAACAGAAAAATGGTTAACAGACTGGAAGATGCCCAAGGTCATTGCACTGTAGTATTCAGTGAAAGGCAAATTGAAATGATGAGATACCATTCCACACCTCCATATTGCCTTTTTTTTTTTTTTTTTTAATCTGACAGTTTCAAACAAGTGGCTGGAATATGGGGCACCAGGGACTCATATCCACAGTTGTGGGAATGAGAATTTACTACTTTGGGAAACAATCTGATATGATTTTTTAAAGATTAAGATGGAAAAATAGACATGCCCCAGGACACAGCAATTCTATTCCTGACCATTGGTAAGGATCCCTACTTTCTTATGCTAAAAGGCACCCACCCAAGATTAGATGATGCCAAGATCAGTGATCTTTGATATGATTGTTAGGAAGGATGGCTCTGGCTTATAGGAGAAAGATGCTGCTGTGCCCAATCTGACCTCTTGTTCTTTGCAGATGGAGGCTGGAGGGCTAGGTAGAAACTTGGAAGGAATAATTTTATTTCACTTTCCTTTAGTAGTTCTTACCTTAGGGATTGATTCTTCTGCTTGCTTATTTTTTATTTATTTTTTTAAACATTTTTTATTGATTTTGTACAGAGAGGAAGGGAGAGAGAGAATTAGAAACATCGATGAGAGAGAGTCATCGATCAGCTGCCTCTTGCACACCCCCTACTGGGGTTGTGCCAGCAACCAAGGTACATGCCCTTGACTGGAATCGAACCCGGGACCTTTCGGTCCCCAAGCCGACGCTCTATCCATTGAGCCAAACCGGTTTCGGCTGCTTGCTTATTTTTAAGGCCTCTCTCTTTCATGTTGTTGGATTCTTTAGAAGTTGGGTAATTCTCAATTGCTCATATAGCAAATGAAGATATAGATTGGATAGTTTGGATATGGTAGCTGGAGTGTATTTCCTTAGCGTACGTGAGAATTTCTATTCACCTCGTGAGGAAAGCCAGTGCCCTGGTGTCTGTGAGTTACTGGAGCACTGTTGCACTTCCCTAATCCAGATATCCACTCTAGTATCTTGCTTATGAAAATTCCCGTTATAGAGGGCTGTACTTGGGTACTAACCTCGGAGATGCATATGGGTTTATCTTTCCAATGGCAGATGAGGGGACACTAACCAGCTATCCCAGCATCCTTTAGATGAATTTCTGACTGATCACCTCCAGTGGTTGTTCTCCCAGCCTTCCTTTGATTGGATGTGAGCATTGTCTAGGGGTACTTCTGATGAAACTCATGATTTACAGACAGTGAGTAATGTCCTCTCCTCTGTCCATGGGAGTTATAGTTCCTCTAACTGCCACTAGGTTGCTGCTGCAGAAGACCAAAGAAAACCAAGGACACTTCTGAGAAAAAAAGGAAGGACACTGTTTAATACACCAGCGGACTCAGGGAACAGTCTTCCAAATCTGAGTGAAGGAACCCGCACGGGGTTTTTTCTTTATATCCCCCTCCCTGTGATCTTTGCCCCACAAACATAGATTATGCTTCCGGTCCTTTTCTCAGGCCTTGCAAGAAGGCCCCCAGGTGTTGGGAGATCTCCCGGTCATATCTGATGGTCTGGCCTGGCACTAGTATTAATAACCCTCCCTCCAGGGCAGTGCACTGTTCACCATAACAGGTTCTGCAAGACCAGTATTTGGGAAGGAGAGAGGAACTTAATTATAGGTTATTAGGAATGTACACTGAGCTTGCTGGCTTGGATTCAGGTCACTAGCCCCGAATATCAGGGTTACATTGGAATTAGTCCTTTTAGCCTTCTCATTGCCATCTGCATTTTATCATCCCAAACTCATGTTCTGAGCTTCTGGCAGCACCGCTCTTGGCTTTCCAACATTGAAATGGATGTATTTTCATTCTGTGTTTCTTACGACATTTCAGTAGGATTTGTGGGAGAAGGACAATAAGTCTTTGTAATCGACCATTTCTTTTCTCTTGTCTAGATCAGGACAGTCCAATCCAACCTTTTATCTCCAGAAGGGCTTTCAAGGATATGTACTCAGAAAAAAACCACCTGGTTCACTTCTTCCTAAAGCACATAAGGTGTGGTAATGATACATTGTAATACAAGTGCATTAATACATTCTTTGTTGACAAATAAATGCATTTTATAGACACAAAAACAATTTAAATTGCTTTTAAAAGTCACCTCGTGATTATTAAATAATAGAAAATTCATTTTATTTCTTAGATAAAAATTTCGCTTAAATTGTATTTCCCATTTGTGTTTTGAAAAAGGATTTGAGGCTGAAATTAAGTCTACAGGCTATTAATATCAGACAACATCCAGACGTCATGTGGATTTAAATCCTTTTTGTACAGTTGGCTATAAATATAGTCATCAAGAGAATATTTTCAGTGCCACTCATTTATAGATACATTGCACCTTGATTCTATATTTAAATTGTTTTTAAAAGCACATTATATCTTATATCTATTCACTGACTTATTCTAAAATATTTGCTATAACAATCCCCTGATATTTTGGTGATAAAAAGAAATATTTGAATATCATTTAATAGTATTTTCTAAATACTATACTTATAATTATAAAATACTTTTTAATTGAGGCTTTCTATTTTCAGAAAACATGAATATTTAGAGAAGAAAATGAAAGAAGAAAGAAACCAAAGTCCTGGAGAACATTAATATTTATAATTACAGTATTATTATTATCATGTATAATAGGTGCTTCCCAGGTCCAGCTGACTTCCCAGACCTTTGAGGGGTGGGCTTAATAGCATAGTAATGGGAAATGCTGATTCTGACTTTCTTGGTTCCTAACATATTCCCAGATACATGAAGTAACTTGGATGCTTAAGATTAAAAAAAAAAGTTGGGTAACTTTTAAAAAAAATCCTTACCTGAGGATATGTGGGTTGTTTTTTTTTTTGTTTTTTTGTTTTGTTTGTTTTTTTTTGTGTGTGTGTGTGTGTGTGTGTGTGTTTTAGAAAGGAGGGGATATAAAGGGAGGGGAGAAAGGAGGGATTCAGACAAGGAGGAAAGAGGGAGGGAGGGAGAGAGACATTGATTGGTTGCTTCCCACACACACACCCTTACCTGGGATTAAACCCACAACCTGGGTATGTGCCCTGATCAGAATAGAACCTGCAACCTTTTGGGGTACAGCATGATGCTCTAACCAATTGAACCACCCAGCCAGGGCAAGTTGGGTAACTTTTATGAAACTTAACATGACATGGCTGAAGGAGAATCCCTACCTATCAGCGATTTATGCCCCAATAAACAGCTCTTCTTGATGCTCTTTTTTATAACATCCTCCCGCAAGACATTGAGCACAACATAATGCTCTCAGCTCAAGGATCTGGAGTACTTTGTTTCAAGTCCCTTTATTTTTCCCAGATCTGCATTGAAAAATATCAGCGCTCCCATAGTGTAATCCTCTTTGTGACTCCCTGACCCACCACCATCCCACCCCACCCCCATTTCCCAGGACCAAGGTGGTTCTAAACATTTCTTCCTACAGCCATTGGCACTGCTGGCTTCTCTCGCAGTGGTCATAGGTTTAGTCACTGCCCTGCTCTAGTTATTGCAGCAATAGCTGCTTTATCCGTGCTGTCCAAGTGAGCATGGTTTCTTCTCCTGAGGAGGGACCAGGAGCACCACAGGGCAAGGGGACTTTGCTTGCAGATGAGTCGGCATCACAGTTCTCTGTAAGCTGTGTCCTCAGGTCCTGAGTGAAAGGCCCATATTGTTAGCTCACAAGTAGTTACTAAACTGTTCTGGTTGAGGAGGCCCACGCTTCTCACTACCTTATTTGGGCTCCTGTTTCAGTACCAGCTTGCTTCATGTTGCCTCCTTTTCCAAAAGATATCTTTAGTTGTACAGCAGCTTCAATTACCCGGAAGCATCCCATGCCCTGCCTTGGACACAAGCACCTCCATTGATCTCCAGAAGGAGCAGTTGATTTTTCCTTCTCCAAGTACCCACTGGCCCCTGGAGCTGACTGTGCCAAGAGCATTAGAATAGAGACTTGCCTGAGCCCCCTGGGGAGACATGAGAGAGACAGAGTAAGCCAGTGATCAGGGAACTGCTGAGAACAAAGAGATGTTTATGATAATACCTGTGAAATATTGTGATCAGCATCGGTTGCCTTCATATATTCAGAACCATGAATATGCCTATCCTAGTTAGCATAATTTATCATGTCTTAGTGCTGGCCTAATTTAGTGCTGCACAAAACTACATTTAAGGAAAATAATAAGGAAATTATTATCCTCTGGGTCATTTAAAAATTGAATTGTAGCCTTAATATTAGCTCACAAGTAGTTATTAAATGTCTGTGTCTCTGATTTGTAATAATATGTCATCCTATTTAGATTGATAGAGAATTTAAAGTCCAGAAAGCTTTGTTTTCTATTGGATTTCCTGTTCCCAAGCCTTTATTGTACTGCAGCGATGCTTCTGTCATTGGAACAGAATTTTATGTGATGGAACATGTGCAGGTAAATTAATGCAATATTGCTTTGTTGTTCTTTTATTTTCAATTAATAAATTAGATGTTAATAAATAATAGTTTATTAATCATTTTAGGTCATTAGTTTGCTTTGCAAACTTTTAATTTCAGCATAATATTTTCCTCTAGGTGTCAGTAAAGAGCTATTTGTAATGGTAATACCAAAATTGTCCAGAAAAGTAGTGGGGGGGAGAAACTCCAAATAATAAATCAGTCCATTAGGATGATACATTTAAATTTTTTAAAAGCTTTTTCTTTTTGTTTTTATTTTTTTAATATATTTTATTCATTTTTTTTACAGATAGGAAGGGAGATGGATAGAAAATTAGAAACATCGATGAGAGAGAAACATCAATCAGCTGCCTCCTGCACACCCCCTACTGTGGATGTGCCTGCAACCAAAGTACACACCCTTGGCTGGAATCAAACCTGGGACCTTTCAGTCCACAGGCCGACGCTCTATCCACTGAGCCAAACCAATTAAGGCAAAGCTTTTTCTTGTTGTAAAATATAACCTGAAAGTCATTTTTGTCCTTTAAGTTCACCTTGGCATATCTTTGCATTTTCCATCTGATATTATATACTCTTATATCAGACCTGTTTCACTTATGAACATTTTTCTAGTATATTCTACAAATAATTGGTTTTGGCTGCAAAACTGTCATCCTTTTGTTTTGTCAGCAGTAGGGAATGGTGACACTGCGAAGAGTTAGTATGAAAAGATTTACTTTGGTTTAAATTATCTATTGTAATTGCTTTCATAGGGTCGAATTTTTCGTGATATCACAATTCCTGGAGTTAGCCCAGCAGAACGCGCAGCCATATATGTAGCCATGATAGAAACCTTGGCTCGGTTACATTCTTTGAATATAAACTCATTGCAGCTGGAAGGATACGGTATAAGTGCCGGGTACTGCAAAAGACAGGTAAGGAATCCACATACAGAGCTCTTTTCCTCAAGTTCTTAAAATAATACACATTATTAGTCAAAATAAAAACCTATTACTTTATACTTTTCTGATACTTTGGTTCTAACATTTAAAATACTTTATTTAAAAATTGGCTTTTAGAGAAAGGAGGGGGGGTGGAAAAAGAGAACTGTGTAGGAAACATGATCAGTTGCCTTCCACACACACCCGGACCAGGTATGGAGCCTGCGGCCTGGGTATATGCTTTGACCAGGTATCGAATTGCCACCTTTTGGTGTATGGGACGAGGCTCTAACCAACTGAGCAACCCAGCCAGGGCAGCTCTTTCTTATCTACTAAAAGAGTAATATGCAAGTTGACTGTCACTCCAACACACAAGATGGCTGCCCCCATGTAGACACAAGATGTCTGCCACAAGATGGCCAGCAGGGAGGGCAGTTGGGAGAGACCAGGCCTGCAAGGTAGGGCAGTTTGGGGGCAACTAGGCCTACAGGGGAGGGCAGTAGGGGGAGACCAGGTCTGCAGGGGAGGGCAGTGGTGGGGGAGGGACACAGGCCTGCAGGAGAGGGCAGTTGGGAGGGACCAGGCCTGCAGGGGAGAGTAATTGGGGAGGACCAGGCCTGCAGAGGAGGGCAGTTGGGGGCAACCAGGCCTGCAAGGGAGAGCAATTGGGGGGAGGAGGTGGCGGGAAACAGGCCTTCAGGAGAGGACAGTTTGGGGTGAACAGGCTGGCAGGGGAAGGCAGTTAGGGTGCCAAGCCAGCAGAGGAGCAGTTAGGCGTCAATCAAGCTGGCAGGGGAGTGGTTAGGGGGTTATCTGGCTGGCAGGTAGAAGCAGTTAGGGTTAATCAGGCAGGCAGGCAAACAAAGTTAGAAGCTAGCAGTCCTGGATTGTGAAAGGGATGTTCCACATTGGAGAGGGTGCCGGCTGGGCTGAAGGACACACACCCCTTCCCTCCTCCCACTGTGCACAAATTTCATGCATCGGGCCTCTAGTATTTAATAATAGCCTTTAGTTTGACTTGTTTTAAAGATAAAATAACTTTATATTCTAGGATTAGATTTTGTTTATCAAACTTTTGAAAGGGACAGAATATAAATTCAAGACTGTTTCAGATTTTCATTTAATTTGCCAACATATTTTTATACAATTTTTCCCTTTTAAATTAGGTTAACATATTTATTAAGCATCATTGTGTTTATATCTTAAATACTGTGTTAAATATTAAGAAAATAGAAATACATTCTTTTGTCAATGGAACTATAGTCATTTTAAGAAACCTATTCATGAATTTTACTTACATGAAACTTGAAAATGTTATAAAAAGAGTATGTAATCTAGTAGCAAATTGTTTGGTATGCATCATGAGAGCTGTTCTATTCAGATGGTAGATATCAGTATACCCTTGCTTGAGCTTCCAGAGAGAGACATATCATACACTGTGTATTTAAGGAAGGATAAAATCTATACTGATAGGGAAGAGAGATGGTGAGTATTTCAAATCAAAGGAACAGCAAGAACAGATATGAATGGACCTGTTTTCCTTTGTATACATGTCTTTTTGAGGGAGTTGAGGGGAAAGAAAAGAGAACTAAGGTTTTGTTTTGTTTTTAAGAAAAAATATTTTTATTGATTTAGAGAGAAAGGAGTGGGAGAGAGCTATAGAAACATCAATGATGGGAGAAAATTATTGATAGGCTGCTTCCTGCACATTCCCTATTGGGGATCGAGCCTGCAACCCAGGCATGTGCCCTTGACTGGAATCAAACCTGGGATCCTTCAGTCCGCAAGCCGACGCTCTATCCCCTGAGCCAAACCAGCTAGGGGTGAGAACTAAGGTTTGGAGAGTACTTACTATATGCCAGGTCTTTTTCATTTTTGTGAGAGCCGTAAGACATTATTACTCCCATTCTATAGATGGGGGTACAGGTTTTCAGGTCTCAAAACACAAATGGCTTAGATATAATTTAAATCCAGGTTCATATGATTTCAAACAAATATCTTTACTGCACTAAATTGAACAGAGATAACCTCGAGGAGTGGAGAGACCATTATAAGCAGGTGTCTCCACTACTTATATAATAATATGGTCTCAATTGATAGAGGACTTTGAGAATAGGTTGATTTGTTTACATTTGAGTCTAAGAACAATAAAAAGTCTTTATACTTCTCATACCTGTAATGCATTTAGAAGATTCTATGGGTAATAAAGAATATTTAAATGAAAAGTAAAAAAATTCCCTTCTTCTAGTCTCATATTTCCTTTTTCAAGGGTTGCTGCTTGTGACCCTTCTATAATTTATTTTTCTGTGCTTATGTGTGTGCGTGTGTGTGTGCATGCACACGTGTGTGTGTGCATTCTTTTTTTTTCAAAATAGTTGCTTAATAAAAAGAGCCAACATCTCTTGATTCCTAGGCCAGTATTTTGTTTATATGTGTGATTAAAAAAAAATCTGTATAAGTATAATGGAACTAGATGGAAGAAAGATTTAAATGTTTATGTTTTTAGGCTGATATAAGCATCATAGGCATTTCTCTTGAGCATTTAAAAATAAAACCAACTTTGATATAATTGAATTTTGTTTGAATTTTAGAACTGCTGGATTTTATACTTTACCTTTAGCACTATTATTTTTCTTATTTATTCTTTAGGTATCAACTTGGACAAAGCAATATCGAGCAGCAGCTCACCAGGACATTCCTGCCATGAACCAGCTCTCTGACTGGCTAATGAAAAACTTGCCAGATAATGACAATGAAGAAAATTTAATTCATGGAGATTTCAGGCTAGATAACATAATTTTCCATCCTAAAGAGGTAATATAAGTCACATTTACAATAAATTAAGAAGGTTTGATATGGGACACATGTACTAAGTAGTTGTTCCTCCCATAGTACTGAGGGAGCCCAGTCCATCTCCATTTTCCCCTACTGTCAGGACTGTCTTCACCACTCAAACTTTTAGAAATGAGTCCTGAAGATTTTCTGGCATAGTTGCCTACTTTTAAGGTGGATCTAATCCTGTTTAAATAGGATTTTCTAATTTACACATATGTGCTCTTTACTTCAACGACATTTTCCATCTAAAAATATTAGCTTATCCATGTTTACAGTTCTTTCTTCTGGCTCATTTTAATTTCATTTTACTATCTCATGAAGAATTTTTCATTTGTTATTTTAACATCAGTGAGGACAGAATTCCAAAAGCCTCTTTTGAAACCTGGAAAGAATTGCATGAGATTTATGTAAACTTGCTCTGTGTAATGTACACAGTGTAGTCTTTATAGAGTAAAAACAAATAAAAAATTATAACCTCCTCCACTGGGCACCAACAATAAGGCCTAGGATTGGAAGCGTATGGTGTGGATGAGGTAACTACTTCTGTTCTCTCTTACCACCTATATTTTAGGCAAGACACGTGGCCCTTAGTATTCTGACATTAATGTGAAGGTTTTACAGTTCCCTAAATTATGACAGCAATGCACTATAAACTGCATTGCTGTCATAATTCAAAGTAGTACTATATCATTTGCAGGTTCAAATATAGTATAAACACATGTGAGCACAGTCACCAGCAAGACAAATTTTTTCCTAGAAAAGTCAATTTGGATATTAAAATTATGTAAATATATGTAATTATATGTGTGTGTAACCTTTTGTTAATGGCACTGATGAATTCTTATTTCTAACTTTGTTAAATATAGAGGAGAATTTAAAATGTTAACTTATAACCTGGAAAAATTATAAAAGTTTATAACTTAAAACATAGCAGGATCTAACCTGTATTTTACCTATACCATTTGATTCATTAATATGTTAGAGCCTTTTATAAGACGTCTGAGTCCTCTATATGTTCTGTAACTATAGTTCTATTATATTCACTACTTAAGCAAAGAAAGAAAAATTCAGACTGAGATCTCCTGAATTATGTGTTGTCTTCCAAGGTATTTAAATTTTAGGATGAGCATAATATACTGAAAGTAATGACTTACTCAGTTACCGTAGTATCAAAAAGTTATTCCTTCATTATATTTAAACACATATTAGAAAATTATTTCTTATAGAATTAAAATTGACCAACAGATATCATCTTCTTTTGGACAAGCAGAATATTCAGTAGTTGGGGAGAGGTTTTGTTTTTTTTTTAAGAACTTTCTTTAGTGGCATAGCTTTCAGCTAGTTAGCTGCACTAGTGATTTGGTAGCTATATAATTACTTTTAATGTTTTAGGATTATTTAGTAGCTATTAAGATGTCTTGTACTTTGTATTTAGTAATCCCATAACCAAATGGGATTTAATCAATTTCTGCCTCCTACAACTATTACAGCTAATTTTTTATGAAAGTAACATGTGGTTGGCAGAGTACAAGTCAACTAGCATTTATTTATTACCAGTTATGTGCTCTGACACATGATTTTGTAAAGGAAATATAGCTCTTAATATGCTCAAAATACCAATGGAGATAAAACATACTCAGGAAATGACTGAGAACAATATTACCCAAGCACTAAAGTGTATCAAACAATCTATATATATAAAAGCCTAAGTGACTATTACAACTGGTCAATGACTGGTTGCTATGATGCCCACTGACCACTAGGGAGCAGATAATTAATGCAGGAGCTGCCCTCTAATGGTCAGTGTGCTTCCACAGCCAACCTCCCATGGTCCCTCTCCCTGGGATAGGCCCCAATTGGGACTGGGCGAGATGGCCCTGATGGCCCCGATTGCCAGCCAGGCCAAGGGACCCCATCCGTGCATGAATCTGTGAATTATAAGAGTAGTCAAAGAGGGAAAAGTACCCACTGTGGACTGGCACTAAGAGTTATAAAACTTTAGACTTTAGTCAATATTCTCTTTCCCACTTCATTTTTAAAATGTCACAAATAAATAGAATATTAGACTTTTCTTTTGTATGCAGGCACTCCACAAATTGGAGTTGAAATGTGCATGTATTCACCAGTATATATTTATGGGAATACTAGAGGCGCGATGCATGAAATTTGTGCAAGGGGGTTGGCCCCGGCTGCTCTGCCCTCGCACTCACAGCTCGGGCTTTGTCTGGAATGTCTTCTGGACTGTCATCCGGAAGGTCATCCAGATGGTCGTTCTTTTGTTCTAATTAGCATATTAGTTCAATCATCCTATATAGGATGATTGAAAGCTTTTTAATTTTTCCCTTAAGTGTAAGGATTTAATTTTTTTTTAACCTTTGCCTGTAAAGTCTATATGGTAGGTCCTCAATAAGTGAAGATCTACTAAACTGAGTGCTCCTTTAAAGCAGCAACTGTATCTTATTCATTTATGTAGCACATGGCTACGTGTTTCTGAATGAATCCATATTGAAGGAATTGATTTTAGTTAATCACTAAGTTACTATTTCCATCTCATATATTTTATGCTTAATTTTTTCTATAGTAGTGTGACCCTAAAGCAAATTATTATTTTTTTTTTCAGCAGCTTTGGAAATTCTTACACTTCACTGCAATGTAGTATTACACTCTATGACATAGTTTTTTTTGTTTTTGTTTTTTTTTAAGACTATTTTTATTTATTAAGTCAAGTGGCATAATTACCAAATAAATTAATGTGGAGGGGAGCAAGGCACTCCCTATTATTCTATTCTATTCTATTCTATTCTATTCTATTCTATTCTATTCTATTCTTTCTTTCCCATTCTTTCCCATTCTATTCTTTTTTTTTAAATATATTTTATTGATTTTTTTTTTTTGCCCCCCTCCCTCCCTCCCATACATACTCTCCTTCCCCAGAGTTTTATGTCCATTGGTTGTACTTATATGCATGTACACAAGTCCTTCGGTTGATCTATTATCTCCCCCAGATCTTCCTCCCCTCCCTACTGTAATTTGACAGTCTGCCTGTTGCTCTAAAGCAAATTATTTAACTCTTCTGTTCCTAAATTTTTAACTTTTTATTTTGAAATAATTATAGACTCAGAAGAAATTGTAAAAATAGTATAGAACTATTCGATGTTCCCATCATCCAGATTCCCAAATGATTTCACACAACTATAGTATTGTATATTATCAAATCCAGGAAATTCACATTGTGTGTGTGCCTTTTAAATTGGGAGGCAGGGGGAGATTTCAGGGTTCTGTTTTTTGTCATCTTTTCTAATACTGACTATCTGTTCTTCAGAAAAAATATTAAGGTAAAAGTAAATATTCCATAATACTTATTAAAATGTAAACAATGGTTGTAAGGGATGAAATTATAAGAAACTTGAAAGTTATACATTTCTGTAATATCTAAGTTTTGAGGTTTTATTGGTGTTTTTTTTCTTTTCTGTTTTTCTTTTTTAAAACATCATGTTTTATTTTTATCATCAAAAAACCTAGCAATTATGAAAGAAAGCAAAAACAATTTTAAGTGATAAACCTTCCAGGAATTTGTGTGTTTAGCCAGTAAAGGGTTACTAAAGTTTATAGCAAACTAAAGTATGTTACTTAATTTTCCAATCCCTAGTTATTTTCCATTTATTTTTTGTAAAGTATTTGAAACATGTTCAAGCATGTATTTTAGCAAAGCAACTACTCATGGAAATGTTTAAAAGAAATTCAGTTTTCCTGGAAAATACTATTAATTTTCAAAATATAAATCTTACTCATCGGCAGAGAAGTATGTAAGATTTTGGAGTTTCGTGTGAGTATTGAAAGACAAGTATTCTTTGAAACAGATAAACCATATATACTTCATTTGCATTCATTAATTAGTAGTCAGATGTATTTAAAAAAATTATACAACACTGGTTTTTTGGAAGTCATCTGCCTTGCAGTCTATATTAATTAACTTCTGAAGAAAAAAAAATGATTTGGTATGAAAAACAAAACATATTTTAATGGCTTTTTCTTTTTAATTTTCCCCATTGTCTTTAACATGTCAGTGTAGTTGGAGAAAAGCATAATTATAAATCTTAATTTTATTCCTAGGGAAGACATGGGGATTGGGTCTTTTCAACCTTTCTGTGACAGATTATTTTTCAAATACTCCTTAGTAAATGCTCCTTAGCAGTAAAGTCAGGTTCTGAACTCAGGCCTGTAGACTTCCAGGGCTGTGTAATTCTTCCTGCATTGTGCTGCTTCTCATCTCCACTGGAACTGGTTAGCTTCAGGGATCTAGCCCTGTTCACTCTCTACTTCTCTTACTTCTTTATATGTCTCCTGATGCTGAAAACTTGATTGTTCTTACTCTGGAATCCATGAACCCCTTATGACTTCATTTGATTTCTTATCCTGCCTGGCCCATATATGGCATGATGAACCACTTAAAAATTGCCTTCTTTATTATCAATTGAATTGTTATTTATTGACTGTGGATGTGTACAAGTAATATAAGAATTATAGAGTTTCCTGACCTTAGGTAAGTTGTTATTCCAGAACCCTCTCACCTCTTGACTTGACACAACCTGCAACGCTGAGCTTGAGTCATTCTGTTTTTGCTACAGAATAGTCATGGCCAGGAAGACAGATTAACTGCTATATAGTTTCATCTAATCTTCAGTTCACCTCTTAGTAACAGCTGTGATTTTTTTTTATTGCTTTTTTTTTTTTTTTACATCTTTTCCATTCTTTCTCAAGTCATTGCTTATCTTATCCAGATTCCCACTCTTAGCATATTGTGTTGCCTTGAATTTGACTCATTTTGTCTTTTTAGTCACTTTCTGGGGATTATATGCACCTTAAAGTTCTCTTGAAGTTCATTTCAGCCCTCTGTGTAATTTCTCTTTATGAAATTATTAGGTGTCATTTTTCTTAAGGCTCATTGTCAAAAAAAATTGTGACTCTTGAGCAGCTGGTTTGTTTTAATCTACGTACACTATAAACATTGTGGCTGATCATACTTCACACTACTTTATGCATAGAAAACAGCAAATATGACTACCTACACAATTATATTTGACTTAAGGCATTTAATTTTATGTAATAACCTTACTCCTAGTTTCTATTATCTTGCCCTAGCCATTTTGACTCAGTGGATAGAGCGTCGGACACTGACTGAAGTGTCCCAGGTACAATTCCTGTCAAGGACACGTACCTTGGTGGTAGGCTACTCCCTGGCCCAGGCCCTGGTTAGGACGTGTGCAGGAGACAACCAATTGATGTGTTTCTCTCTCTTCAGTGTTTCTCTCTGTCGTTCCCTCTCTCTCCCACTCCTTCTAAGAATCAATGGAAGAATGTCCTCAGGTGAGAATTTTAAAAACTGCAATTCCTATCATGTCTGTAGAGAATACTCCAATGGAGGTTCCCTTTCCTATACCCCCTCCTCCTCCTTAATCCTTTGAAGTAATGACAGCCATTGATATTAGTTTGGTGTATATCCTTTCAACTTTGAGTATTCATTTATAACCATTTTTATTTAAACAAAAATACTATACAGTCCTGGCTGGGTAGCTCAGTTGGTTAGAGCAACATCCTGACGGTAAAGATTTCAGGTTCCATCTCCAGTCAGGGCACATACAAGAAGTAACCAAAGAACCCAGCTGGCACGGCTCAGTGATTGAGTGTTGACCTATGAACCAGGGTGTCATGGTTTGATTCCCAGTCAGGACACATGCCCAGGTTGTGGCCTCGAACCCCAGTGTGAGGCATGCAGGGGCAGCCAGTAATTGATTCTCATTAGTGATGTTTCTATCTCTCTCTTTCTCCCTTCCTCTCTGAAATTAATAACAATATATTTTTAAAAATAATTAATCAATGAATGCAGAACTGAATGAAAAAACAAATTGATGTCTCTCTCTCCCCTCCCTTCTTTTCTCTCTCTCAAAATAATAATAATAATAATAATAATAATAATAATATATATGTTATTTTGCAAAATGCTTTTCTCCCTGTATTTACAGCTAAATGTCATGTTTTCTTAACATAAAAATATATATTCCCTTGTAACATATTGTTCCAAAATAGAATGAAAAAATTTTGTTTTATTCTAAATTACATGACTGTTATTTTGCTGTATGTTGCTATATAATGGTAGATTTTGTATTCATAAAACAAACCTCTTTTTTTTAACAATTTTATTTTTGTATTTATACCAAAAAATAACCTATTTTTAAAAATTGCTATTGCCATAAGATTCTAATATTTGTTATGTTGTAAGATTCATCACCAAACAAACTCTTAATTACATATGACATTTATAAGTAATTATTAGAATTTTTTCTTTACAACAGTTATTTACAACAGTGGGAAATTTCAACTGTTTTTGCCTCCACTCATTAGGAGAGTGTAAAGTAAAGTAAAATGCTGTGTAAAGTAAAATGCTGGAGAACAATGGCTAGTAGTGGAATCAGAGGACTTGGCTCTGAACATGTCAAACTCATGGCTGGTGGGCCACAGGTTTGACATGTTTGCAAGGCTAATTAGTTGATAAGTGAGATGCACAATTGTGGGTAAAGACTATGAACTATAGTCTCAGCTTTGCTTTTGATGGAAAACATAATTTTGAGCGTATTCTGTTTCACTTTTTTTTCTTTTTTTGTATAGCAAAGGTGGAAGTTTATTGAACAATTACAGACTCCTATGTAGAGAGGGGGGAAAAGTCCCCCACTTATTTTAGTTGTTTTCAATTGAATATGTCCAAATTGTTTTCTTTTTCATTGCAGTCTCGAGTTATAGCTGTACTGGACTGGGAGCTGTCAACCATTGGGCATCCTTTGTCAGATTTAGCTCATCTCTCCTTGTTCTACTTTTGGCCCAGGACAATTCCAATAGTAAACCAAGGCTCTTATTTTAAAGAAAACATAGGTATGAGAACATAATGATACTTAAATTGATATTAATATAAAATTTTATTTATTTTCCTCAAACTTAAAAATAAGAGTATATTAAAATTTATATAATTAGATTTTATTTGTTTTTGAAATGTTTCTAAATAATTTTATTCTTTATTGATTTTTCTGAATATAGCATTCTATTTTTAGTAATTTATGACAATGTATAATCCTTTGTATATAGTATCCTTTTGGAAATCAGTATTTTGAACATGCTTTGTTACATGGACTAATGGCTATTTTATAAACATATGCAATATTACTACATTTTGAAATATTCACTATGAGGTTTTTATGAAAGTTTACAATGCGTGCTGTTTTTATAGGGATACCATCAATGGAAGAACTAATTTCAATATATTGCAGCTGCAGGGGACTTAATCCTATTCTTCCTAACTGGAATTTCTTTCTTGCTCTTGAATGTTTTAAAATGGCTGGAATAGCACAGGTAATGAATTGTTTTTAACATGTTCCACCATTATTTATTAGTCTACTATTGACAGTATTTTCTGGTCTTCAAGGATTTTATACTTTTTTATGCCTAGACCATTTAGCTTTTCATAATGACAAATACCAAACATTAGTAAAATGTAACTCCAGAATTAATAGAATAGCAATTTGGCAAAGAAAAAAGTTGAGTAACAAAATGTATTACTATTTTTTGGTATAATAAACTTACCAGATGGAGGAAGTAAGAGAGGCCTAATGACAAAAAGAGAAAAGTTTGTGAGAATTGACTATTTCCTGCATATCCAATGTAAGACAGGGCTAAACTATTTTAATGATATCTGCTTCAGACTATAAACCAGGGGTGATGATGAGGAAAGAATTAACTTTGAACTTTCCAAAGTCTGGCATAGTACTAGTACCTATCATATAGGAGCCTCTTAATATAATTTTTTGAGTGAATAGATGAGTAAGTTTTTCCATTTTTCTAATAATGTCATATGTATGTGATTGAGCATAAATTCATTTTTTTAATTATAGCTTGATCTAAAGAAATGCAATCTTTATTATCGTAATTAAGTTTCCATGTACTTTGAATCTTGGAGGTTTATTTCAAAAATTGAAATACTTCATAATTGGCAATGAGGCAGGGACTGGAGAAAGAAAATGTAAATGAGATTTTGGAAACAAGAAAAAATGGGAAAAGAACGATTAAAGACAAGTATCTCTCTGCCCTTCAGCGTTCATTGCATCCACAACCAACTAAAATTATCTTCTAGGAAATAGTTGTGTTACATCTCATCCTGTATTTTATAATCTTACTAATCATGTTAGTTATGTTGGATGGGTTTCTCAAAACAGAGTTTATGCTGTTTCTATATCTGTCAGTTTCCATAAATCAGATACCAGTTAGGCTTTGAATTTAAAATGGATTTTCATTTCAAATAAAAGTTTGACATGAGTTATGATTGATATTAATATGTCATAAATTATATACAGGATGGGGCAAAAGCAGATTTACAGTAAGTATGGAAAATGATACAATAATCTATAATAATAAAAGCATAATATGCTAATTAGACCAGACAGCCGAACTACCTTCCAGATCTCATTCCAGCCATTGTTCCAGACAAAACCACCACTGAAGGGGCCAAGGCAGAAGCAGTTAGGGACAATCAGGCATGTAGGCGAGAAGTTAGGGAGGGAGAGTGATTAGGGTAATCAGGGAGGCAGGCAAGAGGTTAGGGGCAATTAGGCAGGCAGCCGAGTGATTAGGGATGTTCAGGCAGGCAGAAAGAGGGAGGCAGTTAGGGGTGATCAGGCAGATAGGTAGAGGCAGTTAGGGGCATCAGGCAGGCAGGCAGGCAGGTGAGTGGTTAGGGGCAATCAGGCAGGCAGGTGAGTGGTTAGGGGTGATCAGGCAGGCAGGCAAGCAGTTAGGGGCAATCAGGCAGGCAGGCAAGCAATTAGGGGCTATCAGGCAGGCAAGCGAGTGGTTTGGAGCCAGCAGTCCTGGATTGCGAGAGGGATGTCTGACTGCTAGACATCCCCCGATGGGTCCTGGATTGTGAGAGGGTGCAGGCCGGGCTGAGGAACCCCTTCCACCCCCATACATGAATTTTGTGCACTGGGCCTCTAGTTAATAAATAATAATACAAGGATATACATGTTTCTTGTACTCACAACTACAATAAAAGCCTGTATTTGCCCCATCCTCTAGTAATAGCCTTAGAGATTATCATAATCCTATATAATAAAAGCCTAATATGCAAATTGTCCCCACGGGCAGTCGTTCCACTGGGAGTTCGGCCTCTCGCTATGTTGTGTGCTGACCACCAGGGGGAGGCATGGAATTAGCAATGTTTGGTTGGCCCAGAGGCCCATGCTGCACCCTGGCCCATGGTGTCTGGCCATGCTCACCGCATCTCTGTGTGGGGGCTTGGGCGCTGTGACTCAGGTGGATGGGGGCATGCAGGGGTCTGGGGGCCAAGGTGCTGTCCAGGGCCCCAAGGTAAGCTGAGACCTGCCCTTCCACACCAGATGTTTGTGCTTTGATTGCCAGCCAGGCCTATGGACCGCACCCATTCACGATTTTCATGCACTGGGCCTCTAGTTTCATTATAACTATAAATACGAAATTGGAAATAATGGAAAAACTGTTAGTGTTTTAGTACATAAAGAATTATAAGCTGCCTGGCCAGCTTGGCTCAGTGGCTGAGTATTGACCTATGAACCAGGAGGTCACGGTTAGATTCCTCTGGTCAGGGCATGTGCCCAAGTTTCCCAGCTCAGTCCTCAGTATGGGGCATGCAGGAAGCAGCCAATCGATGATTCTTTCTTATCATTGGTGTCTCTGTCTCTCTCTTCCTCTCCCTTCCCCTACTCCTAAATCAATTTTTAAAATGTACTTATTTTTAAAATATAAGAATTATATAAAAAAATAATAATGAAATTCAGTTAATTGGATTTTGGTGGGGAGAGGAGAGTATTATGATGGAAGCACAGCACATGGAGAATTAAGAAAGAAAAAACTGGTTAGCATTTAGCTAACACTGTTCAAAGGAGGTAATTTCATCTAAAATAGGGGTCCAAAACATTCGATAAAATATTCTTAGAGGTCATCTCATTGCAATCTTTTCAGTTTTATAGTTTTCATTTTGTTTTGGTTTCTTTAGATTTTCCCCCACTATGAAGGGAAAGCATTGATTTTTAGAGGTAATATAACTTGCCAATTTGGTATCTTTGGTAACTGCTGAACTCATTTTCAAGTTTGGTTTGATTCTCAGTTTCAATCTGTTAGGATAAGAGTGTATTAACCACATGATATAAGTATGGCTCTTTAATTTGGAGAAGGGGGGGAGTAATAAGTATTCCTTTATGTAAATTAATAAAAATGATAATCTCATTTATATCGTGGTACCTTGTGAGTTTAGTGACTCACATAGCTGGGAAACGGCAAAGACTGGATAGTTGAATGGTACTTTTCAGTGACTTTAATTGCTCTGTGTTAATTTACTTTAGGGAATATATAGTAGATATCTTCTGGGGAATAGCGCATCTGAGAATAGCTTTCAGTTTGCCAATTTTGTGCAACCTATGGCAGAAACCGGATTGCAACTCTCAAAAAGGTAAGCAAAATAGATTTCCCTGGCTAACCCAAACTAGAACCTTTATTAGGTATGTGAAGGTTATAAACTTTATCAGGACAGGGATTGTTCTTATTTCTTATACCAGGATTGCTGCTTCCAATCACAATAGTTAGCTTGGTATTAGTAAATGTGTTATCTGCTTGAAAATAAATTGACTATAAATATAAAGAAAATACCCATATTTATGATTAAAAGTATTTCTGACAACATGAATATATAAACTTTTAAGAATAGAGATAAAACTCTCAAATGTTTCCTTCTAATATTTGTTATTTACATATACCTATTTAAAATTATAAATTATATAAGGTGATTTGTTAAATTTAGAAATACTGCTCTCTCCCACCATCACTTGCCATTAAGTTGTATTCAGACATTTTGTAAGGGTCTTTGAAATCCATGTCTCCATCACTTTTTGAGGCATTTAATACACTTTGCCAACCGCACTCCTATCTAAGTGGTGTGATATATGGCACTTATTGAATTTGTTGATGATGCTGTCCCTGGAAATTCTGCCCAAGATACAATGTACTTAAGTACTTAAGGCACAAAGTTAGAATAATTCTATGGGTTGTTTGTGTTTTTTTTTTTGTGTGTGTGTGTGTGTGTGTGTGTGTGTTTATATACATTTTATTGATTTTTTTACAGGGAGGAAGGGAGGGGGATAGAGAGTTAGAAACATCGATGAGAGAGAAACATCGATCAGCTGCCTCCTGCACACCCCCCATTGGGTATGAGCCCTCAACCAAGATACATGCTCTCGACTGGAATTGAACCTGGGACCCTTGAGTCTGCAGGCCGATGCTCTATCCATTGAGCCAAACTGGCTAGGGCAAGACAATTCTGTTTTTACAGTTCACTTCATGGGTGGATATTTGTGATTTCTATAACAACAACCGTGTTGTACTTGATAAACATCCTTAAAGATCTTGTTTGTAATGACAACCAACAGTTATTTGTGAGGCATATACTAAAAGAATTATTAAATTTGTATTCAATTTCTTTGGTTCCTTTGAGGTCATGCCAGGCTTATGTTTTCCCCAATAAATGTTTAAGTATAAAGTTTGATGTGTACAATAAAGTGATTCTGCATTCACCTTGTAACATGAAAGACTGAAAACATTCCAAAATATGGCAACTTCTGCCCTGGCATGGTGGCTCCACAATGTGTCAGGTTAGATTCCCAGTCAGAGCACATACCTGGGTTTTAGGTTCAACCCTCATTCAACTCATACAGAAGGCAACCAATCAGTGTTTCTCTCTCTTTCCCTTTTCCCCCCATCAATAAAAACATATCCCCTAGTGAGGAATATATATAGCAACTACTTCTGAGTGCTATTTTGGGGAACTATGGAAGACTTCACATTAGACTCAGAAATTAATAATTTGGGATATCTTTGTAACTTTTTTTTGTTTTGTTTGTTTGTTTTTGTTTTGTGTTTTTTTTTTTTTTACAAAGAACCTTCAGAACTACACTATCCCAGATTGATACCACCCGAGAGTTGTTTGTACAGACTAGGAGAGGCCAGGAAATTCTTACCAGGGTAAAGCATTTCATGAAACAGTACATCCTTCCAGCTGAAAAGGTAAGTATTGTGTGAACAGAATGTATTTGTGCTCAAGGACTATGGAATTACTCCTGTTATCTCTGCTGAAAGTCCCATGGTGTCATAGCTTTGCAGTCAGTCCTTAATTAGATATTCCTCCTAGCCTTAGCACTGACCTGCTACAGGCCTGATCCTGAAAAATTCCAAGCTTCTAAAATATGCCAAGGGAATGCTACAAATCAACCTGTGGAATAAAAAGTAAGCTAAAAGGTATTAACTTTTTTTGTAAAGTTGACATTCTTAGTATTGTAGAGTAAAACACTACCTTGGGAATCTTTGCCCAAGGCAATGATTTAGAGCTTTTTTTTCTTTTTCTTTTTTTTCTTTTTTTTTTCTTTTTTTCTTTTTTAGAGCGAATCCCTTTGAGAACTAAGAGAACTGTAGAGGGAATGATTTAGACATATTCTGAAAATTTTGCATATCATTTCAAGCTTTCACAAAAACTTATCATATGCTATTACTTTAAGGTGTTAAATTTCAGTCAGTTCACTGAGTATGAAGAAGTAACTTGATACATTCATTCATTCAGTTAACAACTAATTATCAGGAATCTAATAATGGGTTAGGCACCTAGAGAGCCATTGAAAATAAGAGAGAGAACAAGACAGGGCTTATACTTCAGCATAAAAGAAAGATTAAATAAGAGATGATAAATGCTGTGAAGAGAAAAGTTATTATGAAAATATGTAAGGCAGATGGGGTGGGGTATGTGTGTGGGTAGAACAAAGGGATGAAAATTGTAAGGATGTGATTCTAGCCCATTTCTGCCACAAGTTAGGAATCTTGGGCTCATAATAGTCTCTTAGAGCCCAAGTTCTTCATTTACAATGTGAATAGATATGACCAAATGTACAGTAAATTCCCATTTTAATCTTCTATGATTCTGAGAAGTCTAGAGCCAGAAAATCAAACAGGAAACTGAAAGAGGCCAAAAGTCTTTCATCAAAAACATTCAGTCAATATGTGTTTAGAGGGCAGTTAGTGTTATTGCTTGAATTGTATGAATAATTATATTTTTAGTAAAGATCTGTCATGAGATTAACCTTGCACACAGAATGGGATACAGTGTTTTAAAGAAAATACTACTACTTAAATATGAGGAAATTCTAAAATAGTCAACTCATATATGTTCAATGGTCAGGCTTCAGTCATTTTTCTTTCTTGTTTCACTATTAAACTCTTTTTCATACTTTAAGAACGAAAGCAAGCTTCTTTGTAACACGGTATTTTATTTCAGTCTGCCTCTTTGCTTATTACAAATAGACTTTGCAAATCTCTAAATGGATAGACTTTAGAACAGGAAGTATTAAATAATATAAGTTTTTAAATAATTATCAACACTGGCATCATTTCTCAGAACTGTAGTATCATGAAGAGGTTGTCAGAGGTGAGGAATTTGTAAATGCACTACATAATATATTTCTTATCAAGCACAATAGCATTGGCTATTTCTATAGCAATATGAGGGATGGAAATAATAAACAACCCTAAACAGGAAATTTAACTGACTTCCTGACAGAAATAGCAAGAGCTATTCATACTGGTGCCTTTGATAGAGCCATCCTGTGTCTACTTGACATTTTCACTAAATATAGCATTACTCTAGACCAGTGATTTTCAGTCTTTTCACCTCATGACACACATAAACTAATTAATAATATTCTCCATACACAAAAATATACTTCTTGCCTATCTGACCCCCAAAAAAAAGGTATAATTTTTTATTTATTTACATCAGATGACTATTGTTGTATTGGCTGTTGTCTTTTCTTTTTTCTTTTTTTTTCAATATGGAACACTTCATGAATTTGCATGTCTACCTTGCACAGGTGTTGTCATTTCCTTATTTGACAATCTAAGGCACATGTGTCAAACACAAGGCCCGCGGGCCAAATCCGTCCCGCCAGGCCTTGCAATGTGGCCCGCACCGCGCTGTCATCACTGCACTCCGCTGCGTTTCCATCACAATGACAGTTTATGACTGTTCAGTAAACCATTCGGCCTGCGATTTAGGCTGGATTTTAGATTTTGGCCCCTTCTCTGATTGAGTTCGACACCCCTAAAAGGGAAAAGAGGCCAGTACCCCTGACTAAAAACTGGATTGTCACATGTTTTAAAAATTCTTACAGCACACCAGTTGAAAATCACTGTTCTAGATTGACCGCATTATAATTAAAGGAACATTGTAGTGTATTACTTATCCTATCTAATAAAAGGGTAACATGCAAATTAACCATCACTCCATCACAAAGATGGTGACGCCCATAGCCACAAGATGGTGGTGCCCAGTGCTCTCAGCCCTGGTGGAGTCCCCCAGTTCCGGGGAGGGCCATCGCTGAGAGTGGGCAGCATGAGTGGCCTGGTGGAATGCTTGCTTTGTTGCCCCAGCAACGAGGCAAGCATTCTGCACCCAGCCGCGGGTGAGCCTCTGGGCCATGGAGAGCCTCTGGGTAGCGGGCATGGAGTGGCCAGGCCCTGCAGAGAGCTACTGGTCCATGGATTCATGCAAAGGGCTACTAGTATGATTATAAGTTGGTGGGAAAATTTTAGAAAATAATTTTGTAATACTGACTTTTGACAATGTTCATAGCCATTATTCCAGGGAAGTAATTCTACTAGCCCAGTTGTAGAAAATAGGTAGATGCTATGATAGAAAAATATTGAAGAATGACATTAGACTCCAAAATTTTAGTTGCACAAACTAGAGATTACTGTTACTGCTTTATGTGTCTATTACCCATGTAATTATCACTTCATTTACTATTTATTCCTTCTTGCAACTCAGATGTTTTTTCTAGGATGAAGTTCCTTTAATGAGAATCTTCTGATAAGCTTTTGCCTTTCTTTTTTCCTTCTTTTTCTTTTTTTCCCAGGAAAGGGAAGAACTATTTTATATTCATCTCTTCTCTCTATCTTTATCTATACCTCTGTATCTATCTCCCTGTTTCTTTCATTCTAATGCCTTTTTTTTTGCCCTAATTCTTGAAAGACCATTTTATTAGATATAGAATTCTAGATTGTCAGTTATTTTCTCTCAGCAATTGATGATGATATCCCACTGATATCTATCTTCATTTGTTGCTCTGGGAAGTCAGCTCTCAGTCTTAATTGTTTAATTATCTGTAATTGTCTTAATTGTTTAATTATCTGTAATTGTCCTTCTTTATGAGCCTTTCTTTTAACTTTGATGTTCTGCAGCTTAATGGTGCTCTGGCTTCACTGTGCTTTCTGAATTTGAGGATTGGTATCTTTTTTTTTTTTTTAATATATATTTTATTAATTTTGTACAGAGAGGAAGAGAGAGGGATAGAGAGTTAGAAACATTGATGAGAGAGAGTCATCGATCAGCTGCCTCTTGCACACCCCCTACTGGGGATATGCCCGCAACCAAGGTACATGCCCTTGACCGGAATCGAACCCGGGACCTTTCAGTCCCCAAGCCGACGCTCTATCCATTGAGCCAAACCGGTTTCGGCAGGATTGGTATCTTATCAGTTCTGAAAACGTCTTAGACATAATTTTTACAACATTTCATCTCCTCATTCTCTTCATCTAGTACTAGAATTAGACTTATGTGAGACTTCCGTGTTCATCATATCCTTTAACCACTCATATTTTCCTTCTACTGAATTTCTATACTTCAAGAAAGGAAAAATTTCCTCAGGCCCCTCTTTTGATTTGTCTTTTCAGCTGTATCTAATCTTACTTTCCAGCAGTCCATAGAGCAATGGCTTTCAAAAACTGGATTGTCACAGTTGCCTGAAAAAATACTAAAGAGTATAGAAGCACCAGGCTCACTGAAGTAAGACAGGCCTATACCCCTGTATTTTTACCAAGTTCCCCAAGTGATTCTGAAACCCACCAAAGTTTGAGAACCACTGCCATGAGTTTTCAAGTTTAAGGACTATGGTTTTGCTTTTCCTCAAAATGCATTCAGTTCTTTTCCAAATTTGTCTGACCTATTTTGAAAATCCTTTGTCATATTTTTAATTCCTTCCTTTATTCTTGAAATTTTTAGACACAAATATTTTATACCTTAGATCATTCTTCTATCTATAGTCTTTGGGAGTGTGTTTCTGTTTTGTTGAACTATTGTTTTTGCTAATTCTTGCCAATAGTGGCTTATTTTCTTTGAGTGTTTAGTAATTTTTCATTTTAAACTCACGTTCTTTGAGATGGAATTTTATCGGCTGGGATTATTTAAGGTTTTGTTTACAGCATTCCTCCAGAGAGGATTTGCTTTTGATTCTGCCAGCTCCTTGCAAGCACAGTCACCAGGAACACTCTAAACTTCATTTCAGCTTGAGATTTTAGGGCTCCATGGGTCTCTGAATTCAAATCCCAAACTTGGTTGAAGACAGGCTTCAGGCTAGAAATGTTTCTTTTTTTTCTATTCCATCTTATATATGGTTTATTCCCCATGATTTACGTCTGAGGAGTGGGTGTGTTTTTTTCACTTAGGTTTTACCCCTGAGGTACCCTTGCTTTGGTGACAGGAAGAGATGATCTTTGTTTGGGACATTTGGCTTTTATCCTGACCCCTGTCTACATGGCTCATTAAAAACTAAGGCTCAGCCTAGGCAGTTTTGCTCAGTGGATAGAGGGTCAGCCCACAGACTGAGGGGTATTGGGCTGGATTCCGGTCAAGAGCATGTACCTCAGTTGCAGGCTCAATCCCCAGCCCTTGTCCAGACACAACCAATCAACATGTCTCTCTCACATGATGTTTCTTTCACTATGTCTCTCCCCTCTCCCTTTCTCTCTCTCTAAAAATCAATGGAAAAAATATCCTCAGGTAAGGATTTAAAAAAAATAAAACCAATACGGCCCAGACTAACGTGGATCAGCCAATATCCCCCAGACAAACGTGGCTCTAGTGCTCACTCTCAAAGAGTCAGGCTTTATTCCTGGCCTCTGAGGTGTTTTCTTAATTTCCTCCCAGCACAGCTGTGCATTACTAAATGTATTTTTAACATTATTTTAAGTATTTTATCTGATATTTTTAGTTGTACTACCCTGGAGGGGGTCTCTATGACCATTTAGGGTGCCATATTGCTGAATGAAGCATTCAGACTTTGGTGTAACTTTTTGGGAATCTATTATCTACTATTAAGGGAGCATAATTTGTGAGCAGCAAGATTCTAGAATATTTTATACTTCTGTTTCTGGATTTAGAAATATCACTGATTTAACTGCAGCTGAAAAAGCTGCTTCACCTAAATATGTTCCCTATAGATAGTAACAGTTTGTGGCATTATTTACTTTGTATTAACTTTAGCTAATTAACTTTTTCTTTTCATTACTTTAAGGAGGTAATTGAGTTTTATGCCCAAAAGGAAAACTCAGTAGACCAGTGGAAAAAACCTTTAGTGATTGATAAACTCAAGGTAAGGAAAAAAAGCAAACCTTTAATATTGGAAAATTTACATGCAGATGTTTTTTAAGACCTTTGTTGTTGCTATTGCTATTATATACGTAGCGGATAATTATATCAATAACATTTTAAAGGAAATTAAAAATAGCACCAGTAATATACAAATTAGGTTGCATAGTGTTGTATATTTGGTATATGGTGTTCAAAGAAAAAGTATCATCAACACTACTCACTGCCACCTGTCACTAAATTGAGACTGAAGTCCAGGCAAGACATTTATCTTACATGGACTTAATTTCATGTTTTCAAATCCTAAGAGCAATACATGTTAGAAATCACAATGCAAAAAAAATAATTATTTGGCATAATTATACTCAATCATGGAATCTTTTAAAATAGCTATGATTCAATAAGAAGATTTTGATTCAAAATTTAAATAAATTTAAATTTTCAGCCAAATCCAAGGAAGGGGAAGAAAAGTCATTTAATAGTTAAATGATTGATTCATAATGAATTAGTAACTACTTGTTTTTTGCACACTAGGATACAATGAAATAAGATATATGTTTTTAAATGTCAAAAAGATAAATACTAACATATTTTTATTTATTTATTTATTTATTTTTTAACATTTATTGATTTTTTTAAAATATATATTTTATTGATTTTGTACAGAGAGGAAGGGAGAGAGATAGAGAGTTAGAAACATAGATGGGAGAGAGTCATCGATCAGCTGCCTCTTGCACACCACCCTACTGGGGATATGCCCGCAACCAAGGTACATGCCCTTGACTGGAATCGAACCCGGGACCTTTCAGTCCCCAAGCCGACGCTCTATCCATTGAGCCAAACCAGTTTCGGCAATACTAACATATTTTTAAAAAACACCTATTTTTGGTCATGGCAAATTATGATCACTCTGGCATATCCATCTCCTCAACAGGAAATAGCCAAAGCAGATGGCCTCTGGAACTTGTTCCTGCCAGCTGTCAGCGGCCTCAGCCAGGTTGACTATGCCCTGATTGCTGAAGAAACCGGAAAGTGCTTTTTCGCTCCAGATGTCTTTAACTGCCAAGCACCAGGTTACTACATTATTTAAGAGCAGACTTCTGCAGATGTTTTGAGCAGTGTTGGTAATTTCTCTGTTTTATGACAAGGAAGTTTTCCTGCAAGAAGTCATTGATTTATAAATTTATCCAGAATTTTACTTTTATTTATTTTGATTTAAATATTAAAAAATGGATCTAATGTTCTCAGTGGATTACTCTCTTGTTAAATATCATGACATTAAGAATATTAGTGAATAGAATCTTCTATGAAAAGGATTGGACTGCAGTTTCTTGACTGGATATTGGACACTTCTATGGCTATTGGAATGAATAGAGTTCCACATCTTTTGGTTAGCCTCACTATCTTTCCATTTATGCACCAATTATTTATTATATACTATATGCCAAGCCCTGTTCTAGATCCTTGAAATATACCAAGGGATAAAATAAAGATCCCTGCCCTCGTGGAGCTGATATTCTAATGGAGGGATGCAAAAATAATAAGTATAGTAAATAAAAAAAGTTATGTAGTAAGTTTGAAGATAAAAAGTGCTTTAGGGGGGGGAAATCTCTGTAATAGGGGAGCTCTGGAATGCTCAGGGACAAGGAATATGGATTACAATTTAAAACAGAATGGTTGGGCTAGGCCTCATGTAAAAAAGGACATTTGATAAAGGTGAGCGAGGTAGCCATGCTGATGTCTGGGGAAGAGTTTTCTTAGCAGAGGGAACAGAATATGCACAGGCCGTAGGGCCATAGCATGATTGGTGTGTGCCAGGAGTAGCCAAGGAGGCTAGTATGGCTGGACGAAGAATAGTAGAAGATATCAGAGAGAAAAGGGCCTTATTTATATGTTGGGCTGATAGAGAAGATAAGGGTTTATAACAGTGAAATGGGAAGCCATTGGGGATTTGAGTAGAGCAGTGACAAGATGTAACTTAGGTTTTAAAAGGATCGCTTTGGCTGCTATTTTGAGAATTAAAAGGAGGAAAGGAGAGAAGCAGGGAGTCTGTTGAAATAATCCTACTGAGAGATGATTTGTTCTAGCGTACTAGCAGTGGAAGGGATAAAGAGTGGAAAGATTCTAAATATAATTTGAAGGCAGAGCCAAGAGGATTTCCTGATTGGATATGGGGTATAAATGGTGGAGTCAGGGATGCTGCTAAGGACTTTGGCATGAAAATTGAAAGGCTGAGGGAAGGAGGCCAACTTTTCTTTAAAAAGATAATATAGAATGTAATCTGTAGAAGGTGTTTTGCAGAAGAACCACATAAGGAACTTAAAAAAACCCAGATTCACAGGCTCCATCCCTGGAGATTGTGGTTCTGTAGGTTTAGGGTAGACCCTTGGAATGCCTTTTCTGTTTATTAAAACAAGTTATTCTCATGCCACTAGTCAAGAGCTAGCATTTGACTCATAGGAGGAGGAGGATGGTATGATAGCCTATAGTGTTCCTAAACAAGTTAGGCCTAGGTATGGCCTTTTGTGTTTATTGTCTGGCTCTTGTGCTAACGCTCTCCCAAAAAGAGTTCATGAAGGTGTACGTGCCAAAAGAGACAGATTGGATATTTGAGAGAAAACAGTCTGGTGTTTTAGCAAAGTGTTCCCTCCCTGTTTTTTGACTCTCATTTTTGAAATAATTGAGATAGTTCATGGACTTCTGTTGAAGGTTTTCCTTCTTCAAAACCCTGATTTTTCAAATTATTGTTACACATTTTAATCTAATAATAAAGCTATTGTTAAAGTACAGAAATATATTCACAAAGTTTTTAAAGATTAATCTCATTTGTATGAAGCTATTACATCATGCTAGATAGGTGGCTTAATTTTGTGAAAAAGAACTGGTAGTCTTTTGTTTAAAACCTTTTACTGCTATTCAATAGTAAGAAACATATTTTATATCATGACCTAATATGTAGCATATGTAGTTGTATGTGTCTTCATTGATAAATGGATGGGAGTGGGTGGGGAGGAGAGGAAGAGATACTGATATGTTATTGAAAAAAGGCTTCATAAAACTACTACATGCAATGCACTCAGATATTTTTCTCTGAGTCTAATCTAATGTACTCTGTTTTGATTTATCTTAGTATTTATACATTGTTGCCCATATTCCATTAAAATGATTTCAAAACACACTAATGGGTCATAATATGAAAAATAATGCTATAGAAGACATCCTTTGCAGATGCAACTCTGCACTATTTCTCCTGTGAACTTAATTTTCACTAGATGGTCATGGACATTTTTTAGTATTAAAATTTCATGAGTCTATCAGTTGTACTGTCTAAAGTAGGGGTGTCGAACTCAATCAGAGAAGGGGCCAAAATCTAAAATCCAGCCTAAATCGCAGGCCGAATGGTTTACTGAACAGTCATAAACTGTCATTGTGATGGAAACGCAGCGGAGTGCAGTGATGACAGCGCGGTGCGGGCCACATTGCAAGGCCTGGCGGGACGGATTTGGCCCGCGGGCCTTGTGTTTGACACATGTGGTCTAAAGGATATCACCAAACTGCTGAAATTTTTAATTGGCCAGGGAAATACATTTTCTTTGATCCAAGTATGATCAACAACTCTACTCAGCAAACAAGATGTGTCAAATCATAAGTAGAAAACCAGACATTTTCTTTTTGCTGTGGAGATACAGCCTCATCAAGGGGTTGGGCGTTGTGTTTTGGAATATTTCCAAAGCAGAAAGAAATGGAATGTAATTGATGCCAGTTAAATACTTTGGGAGGTTTCTTAGGTGTAAAAGATTAATTTCTACTCAAGCTACCAGAATTATTTCCCAAGTAGTTATAAAAGCTTATGAGAAACATATGGGATCTTCCAATTTTTCTTTTTTTTTGTTTTTTGCCCTTCAATAAGTCATACAATATTGTATTTTTGAATGTTGAAACTAGCAATTTTAATTATAAAGTTATTATTGGATAACTCAGAGGGCATTGGGCTGGTTTGGAGGAGGGATTTGTAGAAGTAATTTATGTAGGCTCTTTTCCCAACCCATAAGTGATAGCTTCGTTTTGCCAGCTTCTCAGAATGAACAGTAATTTTTGGAGAGTTTATATCTAATATTTACCTCATTTGAACTATAAGAGAAACACTGGATTGAAAATAAGCAAAGAAAACACTGAGCTACATTAATTCCAACTCAGAACTCAATTTTCCCTCAGTCAAAAAGAATTTTCAGTTTGTTAACCTAAAAGTCTTTCATTTTTAACATAACTTTGGCTTCATTAGGAGTGTCTAAACAGAGGACAAACATATTTTGAGAGACTTATCTTAGACTTAACTCAATTTCATAGGCATCTTAATGATTATCTTTAAAGTCATTATAAGAGGTAATGTTGAAAAATCTTTAAAATCTTATAAGAAATCAGTATTCAAAGAAACGGTTTTAGAAATAATTTTTAGAAATTTGATAGGAGTGAAAATCAAAGAAAGGCATCTAGAACATTTTGCTTGATGGCAAATGTGAAGCTTTTTTTTTTTTTTTTAATAGAGTGATACTAAATAGTGTTATCATGTACTGAACAGTTCCCTCGGAGGGTTGGAGAGCATCTTTGATGTTATCTACTATTACTTTCTCCCCAGAGCAGGGATCCTGTGGTTAGCATTTTTTAGATATGACTGGTACTTTTCTAGATGGTATGGGGTGTACAAAAGTCAGAGCAATGTCAGCAGTAAAGAGACAATTAATTACTGAGATCAGGAGATATTTCTGATTGAGGAAGCAGAGAGTCTTCACAATGCACGTGGCTCAGAAGCAGAATTTAGTCAGGAATGATGGGTGCAATTTCACTTGAGAGGAGGCCTGGAAGGAACAAACAGGGTGTGTTTGAGGTACTAGTGTCTCTTGTTTGCCAGCAGTGTTGCAATCACTTTTGGCAGAGCATATTTGCAAGATACGTACCAGGCAAAGGTTAGGCCAGCAGATTGTTTTCAGCCATTCTAATTGAGTTAGACCTCATGAGAGCCAGGCTTCACAGAGACGAGAAGACAAGTGTCTGTGATCCACAACAAGCTGAATAAATATGCACGGAATGCCAAGTACTTGTAACTACTTATGGCACATCTTCATTGAGGATTATATTCACTATTATGCTTCAAAATTATATTCACTATTCTGCAAAATGTTAGTAAACATATGCTTTAAAACTATGCATGTCTGCATTGTCCACATAAAGTTTGGATTTCATATTAGTAAATTTTTAAATTAGAAATAAAGGCTTTTCTTGTTCCCTGTAGACACAGGGAACATGGAGCTGCTCCACCTGTATGGAAGTGAAAAACAGAAGCAGCAGTGGCTTGAGCCTCTTCTTCAAGGGACCATTGCCTCCTGCTTCTGTATGACAGGTAAAAGCAGATCACTGTGCTCTGTGCAACCAGCCCCCCACACCCACCCCCGCCCCCGGGTTATGGATGAGCTGAAGAATGTGGGGTGTGGCTCTGTGTTTTGGGTAAATTTGCCTGTGGTCATAAATGTGAATATCCAGTTTTAAATTTGGAAATGTAGAAATGTGCAGAATAAAATTACCCTCCCCTTAGGCCAGACACCAGGTGATGTTTTCTGGTAATCTATAGGCATACACAGCAGAGAAAACCTAGTTTCATAATCTTTTGACTTGCATTTCTAAAATTACCTTTTGTGGATATTTAAGATCGTTTTTGCTCTTGTGTATGGAATATTCCTCTTTATGGTCATTTTATATTGATGCTTACAAAATACTTTACACTGCATAAATCTGGAAAAATAGAACTTTCACCAATGCTGGTCATATTGCTCAATTTATAATCATGGGGTGGTGTGGAATAAAGCTAGAAGCATGTTAATAAAAATAGTTTGGTACCATTTGTACATAGGAAACACATTAAGAACTCTTGAAGGGACCAACACATTTCATAATTGAGTTTAGAATTAAACTAAACTTCATCTGGTCATAATTTTGGTCAGATTTCTTTTGTCTTCTATAACCTTGCATACATTTATAATAGCAAAACTGATCTCCATTTAAATCAGTAAAGAGGCATTTATTGAACATCTGCAGTATGATGTGTTAGCTACAGAGCACTAATTTGAGGTTACAAAATAAGTAGAGTAGACAGCCCCCTTTCTAAAGGAACTGAGTCTCTAATTTTGGAAACATAACATGAGAAGTATCTGAAGGACCCATTGAAAAGGGCATGCATGACCAAGGGCAGGTAACTGTGAGTGCTGGCCTGTGACTTCCGAAATGCCGTGCAGTACAGCAGCCGTGTAAGGGTTTCATGGAAAACCTTGTGCAGACAGGAAGTGTTGGGAGGCTTTATAGAATGCAAAATAAATAAGTCAGTGAAAGCATTCCTGATGGAATTTGCAAGGCAAATTGTTTAAGATAGTAAACTGCATGGTAAGGAAATCTGGCTTGCAAATATTTACTATAGACTTCCGTTGTGGCAAGAACAGTACTCTTAATCTACTTTTGATGACTGGAAAAAGAATTGCGTTTTATCTGAAATCGGGTATCAGTGAGGAAGCCAAGAACACAATTCAGAGTGCAGATCCCCACTGTCCTAAATACTTCCTTAATTCCTTCTTCCAATGCACCTGTATTGAGTACCTGCTCTTTGCGGGTTATGGGGAACCAGGGTGGGAAGGGGAAAGGATAGGAAAATGAAAAAAATAAAGATGCTCTCTGTCCTCAGAGAGTTCACATTTCCTTATCTAACTCCCTTCGTAAACCAATGGTATCTGCCTTCCTGTAAATTCAGCCTTTGCTTATTTATAGAGCCAGATGTAGCATCCAGTGATGCCACAAATATTGAATGCAGCATCCAACGAGATGGAGACAGCTATGTAGTCAATGGCAAAAAATGGTGGAGCAGTGGTGAGTATTCAGACTGACCCTTTGTGCTCAATGCTGTGCTAAAAGAATTTGAACATAGTGATTGGTTTTCTGATCACAGTTCTTTAAATTCTACCTTACCATTTCCAAATATATAAATGGATGATAAAAAGAAAAGTAACTTTAAAATAACATCTTAATTAGGTGGTGCTTATATTAAGTGCAGAAAGCATCTTTTTTTTGTATAGTTTGTGAAAAATAACCTTCATATTGGTGTACAATATTTTTGACCATTTTCTACCAAAATTAAATTTTAATAGAGACATATCACATGGACTATAATAATTTATATATTATTATCTTTAAAGAGAAAGTGTACGTTATTAAAAATAATTTATTGTGCTACATATTTTCATTGCTTAAAAATACAAGTGTATAAGTGAAAAATAAGAATCTTTACACATAGAAAAATACATTATCAACTCCCAGTAAAGACTCACATAAATGGATGAACCCTTAAAAAGTCATAAAAATAACATTATAATAATCAGGTATGATTGAAGATTATTTCATACATGATAAATCTAATGGGATAACAAGTTTATTACTAAAGAAAGATGACATATGGAAGCAAATTATGTGTTTAGAAACTTAGCAGGGATGTATTAAAAGAGCCAGAAATGCTTTTTAAGTACTTTTGTTGTTGTTGGTTATTATGAAATCACTTACAAATTAAGAAACAGGAAAAAGGATAGATTATATTTTGTTGTGTAGCTAATCAAGTATTAAAATCATGCAGGGAAATCATTCTTATATGATTTAAAATAATTACAAATGCCCCTTAATATAAGCCTCTTTATTAATGTTTTAGATGGCCTAACATAGCAAAATGTTTTTATTACTTATGCCTGTTGTTACTGTTTTCCAATATTGTTCATTTTAATTTTCTTGTTTTATGCATTGATTATTGTGTTTCCTCTTCTTGGTTTCTACCCTCCCCCCTTCTTCATCCCAACCTCTTCTTTGTAATAAGTTTCAACCACAGTGTCTTGAGATTTGAATTTCAGAATAATGCAGATGTTTTAGCTGAGGGCGAAGCATCACTCATGTGTATCAAAGCAGCAGTTTTACATTTAAATGCTGAATGTACTGGTTGGCTCTGTAGGGACTTCAGAATCGAAAGGAACCTCCTCCACATTCTGTCTTTGTCTTCTCCAGGTCCCGTATTTCTTGGCCACTTTCATGATGTAGTTTTTAAAAGAGGATCCCATGAAAACGTACAGGACTGGGTTGAGGCAGCTGTGAAAGAGCGCGATGCTCTCTGTGACCTGGATGGCGACATCCATGCGCTTGCTCATGTCGCAGTTGGTGATCAGGGAGTAGATGATGTCTATGGCTTGGCAGAACTTGACAATGTTATAAGGCAGCTGAGTGGCAATGAAAACGAGAACCACTGCGAGCAGAACTTTGAGGGGTCGAGATTTCTTAATGTTCGGCATCTTGATGAGTGTCCTTGCTGTGATAAAGTAGCACACTCCCATAATAAGAAAGGGTATCACAAATCCAATGCAGATCTCCAGCATTTGAATCCATGCTTTCAGTGAAGTTTTTAGGTGATATGGGAAAATGGGAACACACCTAGCCTTGTGATTTACAGTATAAAAAACCAGCTGAGGTATGCTCAGCAAGATAGCGGCCATCCAGACACAGAAACAGATGAGCCGGCATGGTCTTCCCACTCCTGAGTGACTTGGGGCTTTAGTTACTGCCCAACATCTGTCTAGGCTGATACAAGCCAAAAACTGCATCCCAGAGACAAAGTTGACTGTGTACAAGGCCGAAGTGACCTTGCACATGAATTTCCCTAAAACCCACCCATGAACTGCATTAACTGCCCAAAAAGGCAGAGTGAATAGGAGGAGCAAATCTGCCACTGCCAAATTCAGGATGTACACATCTGTTTTGGTCCTCTGCTTCTTGTAATAGGCATAAATCGCCACTACGGTGGAGTTACCTGCAACTCCAATGATGAAAGCGACTGTGAAGAAGGCAGGCAGGAAAACTTTGGCAAAATTTCTGACCTCCTCTTTTACACACACCACTTCATACTGACTGTAGTCATGGGTGCCATTTATCTCACTTTCCTCATAATAGTAATCTGCCGATTCATTGTGCTCCAAAGCCATGGCTGCAATCTAAATGGCAAAAAAAGAACACAGGATATTCATTTTAATGTTGCTTGCAAGGAAACCTTTTTTATCTAGCATATACTTTGTTCTCTTACTAAAGAAGAGAAGAGATAACATGTGTGAGCCTGAATCTAGCATTCTTTGAAATCCTTTAGTGGAAGCCACATTGGAGTATATCCCTAAAACTAATTTTCATCCACAGGCACATGCCATGCTATAGCACATGTACTCATTCTGCTCCTTTATCTCATGTAGTATTTCCTGCCCTTCCCTTGGGGGGCCAATTCCTGCTCATTTTCCCTTGGATGTTACCTCCCCAGAAGACTTTCCTGATCCAGATGCTATATAGACAAATCTCCCAAAAAACTAACCCCATCCAATTACATTTTCTTCTATGTACTAAGTTCCCTACCATTGTAATTAATACCTTACAGAGTGTCTGGCACACACTAGTTGCTCAGTAAACATCTGTCAAATGCATGTTCTACCATCAGATATAAAGCTGTTATTGTCCTGCCTCACCACTGTTACTTTACTACTTTGGCTATTAATATGCAGCAATAGTAAGATAAACTTATGCAGAATTCTCAATCTTTAAAACGTATTTAATAATGTCCTTCAGTGTGTTTGTTAAAGTGCTCAGTTTTGTTTTGCTTTTTCTTACCCTGTCTGTCTCCCTTTGGTTAGTTTTGTCCTTAGAAGAATCCAAAATATTCTCACAGAATCATGAACATCTTACTTTCAGAACAGTGTGACAACTTATGGTACATTTTCAAAAGCATGTTGTTATGCTTGCTGCCTTTTGGGGATGATAAAGCAAAGTGAAGAAGGCCCCCCTGAAGAGAGCTATCACTTAATAGAACTACTTTTAACAACTTAAAATGACTACTTTTATCCTTACTGTTATTTGAAAAGTTCCAATCCGAAAAATTACCCTAGTTTTCATTAATGATTAACACAGCGTGCACTTTGTTCTTTCCTTCTCTTTTATCACAGAAATCTTGAACCTGATGATAAGGAACAATGTGGCCACATAATATAAGATATTAAGGAAGGTTATTTTAAAATAAGCATTAATCTTATTAAAAATGTGCATAAATAGGAGTAGGAATGAACATGATTTCCAGAAACTATCCTCTGGCAATGGCATAGAAACATATTTAGATAGCTCTATATAATTATTACAGGAAAACAAAAAAAATTAGTGTTTGTAAAAGTAAAAATAATGGTATAACAAAACCTATTTCTCATTAATAAAATTTCATAGGCAATAATGGTATTAAAATAACATATTTTCTTCTTGCTATATTCAAGTGTTTAAGTTTTAAAAAATAATGCTTTCAAATAGCTCTTCTTTATACATAAATGTTCAGAATTTTATGCATCAATACTCCCTCTACATAAATATACAAAATTTTTGAGCTTTCAAAAAAAATCATATCCACATCAGAATGAGAAGAGAAAAACTAACCTGTTTCAGTGTGCAGAAAGAGAGCAGCAGTCTTGAGTGCAGTGCGGAGTGAAATCAAATGACCTCGCCAACTGGGGCTACTTTTGTTTTCGTTTTATACCCCGCCTTTAACTTGCATCCAAGAGGGCTTTCCTGAAATTTAACCTCCTGAACACTTGATCTTTATTTTATGTATATCCATCCTGTGAAGCCAAATCCAAGTTCTTAAGTGTCCTACAACACAAACCTGAAAGAATTTCATCTTGTTTCAACAACTACAGACCTTTCAAAGTTTCCACTTAGCTGAAGGCATCCAGAAAGTGCCTGTGGCTTAGGAGCTGACTGCCAAGTCAAAAGAACTCACTCAAGAGCATCCAGGCAGCTAAGGAGCACTGTGGGTAACATCAGAGAAATGCTCTCTAAAGTTATCTTGTCTAGGAAAGAAAATAAAAATTATTTTTCACCCAGAAAATTATCTTTTGAAGACTACAATAGAAGTAATGGTTAGGCATAACTAGGAGTTAATGTGGGTTTTTTTTTTTTGTTTGTTTTTTTGCCACATTACTATTTTACTTAAGCTATGAGACTCCTCTTGCTTCACTATTCCTCTGTCCTTGATCCCAGAGTATGCCTTTCCCCATGACCTTAAACTCTTTTTCTTTCTTGTAACCTTTTTTTTTAATCTTTTTAATATATTTTATTGATTTTTCACAGAGAGGAAGGGAGAGAGCTAGAGAGCTAGAAACGTTTATGAGAGAGAAACATCGACCAGCTGCCTCTTGCACACCCCCTACCGGGCATGTGCCCACAACCAACATACATGCCCTTGACCGGAATTGAACCTGGGACCTTTCAGTCCGCAGACCAACGCTCTACCACTGAGCCAAACCGGTTTCGGCTTCTTGTAACCTTTTTCTTCAAAGACTGGCATCCTATCCTATGTCTTAGTCAGTTTATTTTTCTGATTCTAAACAAATGAAAATGTATGCAGCTTTAGCCTTTGTGGTTTATTCCAAGTTGACTCACCTCACATTTACGTAACATTTCTCTTGTTTACTACATATTCATGCAAGGCTAGGCTTAGTCTCCACCTGAGAAGTTATTTTAGACCCATGTCATTTTTTTCTCCAAGCAACTCAATTCACAGAAAAGAGGTTCTGGGTCATTGGGGCCTTTATCTTTCTTCCCCTCACTGCAGTACATATGTGAGGGTACAGCCAGATTCTTCTCCTTGTTATCCACAGTCTTTGAGAAAGAGTCATTTACAGGCAGCTAAGCCAATACTTTAGGAAAAAGATTGCCTGGATTGGTGGTGTTTGTCATTTTTCAGTGCAAATGCTTTTAAGCCACCAATGTGAAGTCACTGAAAGCAAAATTGCTAAGAGGCTGGCAGAAAGCTCTCCTGAGCGGGCTCCAGCACACTCCTTCCAAAGAAGGAGCCTCTTCTACTTACCAACCCGATCCTTTCTCCAGTTTCTTGCTGCCTTCTGAAGGACACTGCTCTTAAAGTCATCCCTATCCCTGTTCTTTCTAGACTGTCTGGTCTTTCCCCTCTAACTCTTGTTCTTCACCTGATATTGATTGGGGCAGGAGGGGAAAAAAGCAACCTTCCACTAAATTTTTAGAGTGGCCTACAAAACCCCTATATCCCTCATTACCTCTCTGACCTTATTTCATAGGATTCGCCCTTTGCCTGCTTGTGCTGTCATGCCAACCTCCTCTCTGTTTTTGAATGTACCAGGCACATGTCCTACGGAGGTCTTCTCCTATTCATAATTCTCCCATCTGTTGGAATGTGCTTCTTCCCTACTTTAAGTCTTTGTCCAGTCACCACCTTCTCACCGAGGCAATTCCTTACTTCATTATTTAAAATGCACGCCTGCCTCTACTCCAATCCACTTTCCATGAGCTAATGTACTGTATCAGTTGTCTATTGCCTCTTGCCCTGTATTAGAATATAAACACTACCAGAACAGCTACCTCCGTTTGCTTCTGCACTGATATATCCCAAGTGCCTGGGATAGTGTTTTTATTTAATAAATAATCCTACTTTTCCTTCTGATTAGTTCTATTTTTATCATACTATTTCTTATATATCTTAGTTATTTTTTGTGGATTACCATAATTTGCCTTACCATTTCAATTATTATAGGACTTTTAGAATGTCTCTAATATTTTGCTTTTACAAATGATTTTACAGAGCTCTCATAGTTATAAATGTTGTGAGAAACAACTTAATCTAAATCTTACTATGAAGTATTGAAGAATGTGACTCGGTAACTATTCCTTTTTTTCTTTTTACACAAAAGATAGCATTCTTCTATTCTACTGTAGAATAATCCTAGAAAGCTAATTGCATAGAAAACTTCATTCTTTTTGGAAGGGTTCCATTATGTGGACATTCCACAGTATATTTAAATAGTCTCCTGATGGATACTGATTTATGCCCAATTATTTGCAAATGCAAACAATACTACTGCAATGAATGATCTGATGCATCAGTTGTTTTGTTCAGGAATAGCTATATCTGTAGGCTATACCCAGAATTTTAATTGATGAATCAAACACTAAATGAATCTGTAATTTTGATGGATATTGCCAAATTATACTCTATAGAGATGGTATTACTTTGTATTCTTACCAATCATGTATGGAAGTATCTACCCTGTTTCCCCGAAAATAAGACAGTGTCTTATATTAATTTTTGCTCCCAAAGGTGCGCTAGGTCTTATTTTCAGGGGATGTCTTATTTTTCCATGAAGAAGAATACGGTACACAATTATTGTTAAATGAAAATAAAGGAAATTTATTACCTGTATACGGTACGGTACTACGATAGTTGTCAACACAAACCAGACAAACTGTGAATCCTTCAATATCAAGAATTTACTCATTTATTCAATGACAATCATGTCATCATCTTCTGGAACATCATCATAACAATCCAATTCCTGAATTTCCTGGTGAATTTCTTGTGACTATTTCTTTCAGAATCAGTGGATCAAATCTCTCATGTTTAGCCTAAGGGGCCTTATATTTCACTCAGAAGGAAACCTGTAAGTAGGTCTTATTTTCGGAGGATGTCTTATTTTGGGGGAAACTCGGTATTTTCCCTAAAACCTTGATAAGAGAATGTTTTACTTGATTAACACTTTGCTTCTTTCTAAATGACTTCTAACAGTTTAGAACTCCTCTCTCCCATGCCCTTGCCAGCCATGTGTGAAATATTTCCCAAAAATTGGTGGTTTTTTTTGTTTTTGCTTTTTAATTTTGTTTTTTAATGTATAATAATTTATATAGATAAGCCAACTTACCTTTTTCTTTGATTTCATTTATCATTTTTAAAGTTTAAAAATTTTTTCCCATCCAGAGATTTCTTTAAAAATTATTTTTTTCCTCTAATTTCTTATGGCTTATTAAAATTTTTTAATTTTTCAATTCTGCTCTATTTGGAATTGATTTTGATCCTATGGTATTCTGTAACTACAACAGCAATAGTAGTTGCAGCAAATAACATTTATTAAACACTTACTATATGTCTAGGAAAATTCATATCTAATAAGTGAATTTCAGAGTGGATTTCAGAGTGCTTCCCGCATTAAAAACACACATACTTTTAGAGAACACATAAGATTGCTTTTTCAAAAAACTGTATGATTGTATGATAAAACATTATTTTTAACAAGTGGGAATTTCATTGTAAAATGGTACTTAATTCATAATGATTTTTATTCCAACTTGGATTAAGTATTAGTTTTAAAGCTAAGACCAAATGAAGTTTAAGTATTTCACCTCAGAAATTCAATGTTAGTAGAAGAAATAGCTTTGAGACTTTGCAGATGGCTACCTGTGCTTCATATTATATAACTGTTTAAAATCACTTTCTCTTAAAAAAAATGTTTTATTGATTTTTAGAGAAAGATAGGGAGAAGGATAGAGATAGAAACATCGATGAGAGAGAAACATCATAGATCCCCATTGGGGATCGAGCTGCAATCAGGGCATGTACCCTAAGAATTGAACCATGACCTTCTGGTTCATATGTCGACACGCAACCACTGAGCCACACCAGCCGGGCACTTTCTTTATTGTTACAGACCACATCCAAAACCAGCTGTCAAGTTTCTTCCCCACCTGTCATTTTTCATTGTGTTGGGAAATGACTTCGTTTAATAATCATGTGGTTTGTAAGAGTCTAAGAAATTAAAATTCATCAGCAAATATCATGGAGATGTCATTTTTCAGCCTGACTTATTCTGGCACTTGCAGTCTTGAAATACCACAGAGTTTGAATTCAAAATAAAAATATTTTACCAATGCCATCTATTTTCATTAATGAAGGTACATGACAGGACATATACTTAAATGTTTCTGGTCTACTCAGATTTCCTCTAATATATTTCATTTTTGACATCTGGTATCCTGTTCACTAACTAAAATAATATAAAAGAGCAAAACTCTCTTTTGAAGAGGGACATTTTAGCTGCTATACTTGCCAAATTCTGCTTGTAGCTAAGATGAGATGATATATGAGGGTTTTTTTCTATTTTATGAGACATCAAGGTTAAATAAAAATATTTCAAAATTTACAACCTATGCATCCACCCATATTTCCTTACTTATTAACCCCCCAAAGAAGAGCCAATTCAGAAGTTTTATTTTTTAAATCTGAATTGTTTTAGATTAGGGAGAATCAAATAATTATTTACTTCTTTTGTTGTTAGTCCTCACCCAAGGATAATTTTTTCCATTGATTTTTTTTTAGAGTGGAGGGAGTTAGAAACATGGATGTGAGAGAGACACATTGATAGGTTGCCTCCCAGACATCCCCAAGTACTATGTTCCCTTGACTGGGAACCAAACTCACGACCCTTTAGTGCACAGGCTAACACTGTAAACACTGAGCAAAGCCAGCCAGAGTATACTGTGTACTATCTATCTATCTATCTATCTATCTATCTATCTATCTATAGATAGATAGATAGATAGATAGATAGATAGATGGTACACAACATTTGTGCACTTTGAGGGGGTGGTCCCTCAGCCTAGCCTGCACCCTTTTGCAGTCTGGGAGCCCTTGGGGGATGTCAAACTGATGGCTTAGGCCCGCTCCCTGGGAGTGGGCCTAAGCCACAGTTGGACAGCCTTAGTGCTACCATGGAGGCAGGCCCCTGTGCTCACCAGCCATCAGCCCTGCTTGTGGCTGAGCGGTGCTCCCCCTGTGGGAACACACTCACCTTTAGGGGGCAGCTCTTGCATTGAGCATCAGTCCCCTGGTGGTCAGTGCGCATCATAGCAACTGATCGTTCCGCTGTTCAGTAGATTTGCATATTGCCCTTTTATTATATAGGACTAGAAGCCCAGTGCACAAATTCTTTTTTGTTTTTAATTTTTAATTATTTTTGTTGTTGTTAATCCTCACTCGAGGATATTTTACCATTGATTTTTTAAGGAGAGTAGAAGAAAGAGGGAAAGACAGAGAGGAACATCAATGTGAGAGAAACACATCAATTGGTTGCCTCCTACAGGAGCCCTGACCAGGGCCTGGGCATTGGGAGAAACCTGCAACTGAGGTATGTGCCCTTGACTGGAATTGAACCTGGACCTTTGGTCCACAGACCAAGGCTCTATCCACTGAGCCAAACCAGCTAGGGCATTTTATTGATTTTTAAAGAGAGAAAAGGGGAGAGGGATAGATTAAAAACATCAGTGAGAGAGAAACATCATTGATCTGCTGTCTTCTGCTTACCTGCTACTGGGGTTTAAGCCCACAACCCAGGCATGTGCCCTGACTTGGTCAACACTTCACCCCTGAGCCAGAGCCACACCGCCCAGGCTACCTTATTTTTTAGTTTCTTCAAAATTTACCAGATATCTGAAATGTATTGGGCACTAACACAAAGTCATAGCAACAATTTTTTATGATAGAGCAAGGCAAGAAATGCTATTGGGAAATATTAGAGAAAACTACATATATTCTGAATATTAGGAAAATGGGGCTTTCAACTAAGGTTTAAAGGAGTTAGAAGATTTTACTTTTGAAGGATTTAGCTTCTGGCCATCTTGATGAAGATCCATGAAACATTAAAAGATTTACCCAAAATGTTCTTGATTACCAAGATAGAAATTGAGAAAGAAAAGATCCTAGTGAAAATGAAGCCCAAGTCATACCATTATGTCCTAATCTGATTACAGTGTGGTATTTAATGGCCAATTTAATATTGGTGTTTTTTTTTTTTTAAATGTCCTAAGTTAATGAAAAGGCTTCTCCTTTACTTCCTAGTCACGATTTGAATTACATGTGTGAACATGTGATTGCATGTTCTGCCAAGTCTAGGGAGTAGTCATGGGCTTCAAGATCAAAATCAGTCTAAGGTGCTTCCTTATTCCACTCCCAGCCGGTAAGTGAATAGTCATCAGTTGTAGGCACGCTACCTTCTTCCCGTTTATTCCCTTTCCTGGATGGAAGTTTTTTTTTAGTGGGTTTTTAAAAATCAGTTTAACTGCAAGGCAGAGTGTGCATGAAGGACTTCTGGAGTTGTGTGTTATCACATAGAAGAGGAGGGGAAACGCCCCACCCTGTGTAGGAAATGGGTCCTCCAGGGCCATGTTAGATGTTCTAATTGAGAGGAGATTAGGAAAGAGAAAAGAGAACATACTGCAGTTTACTCAGCAAGTTTCTGTCTCCTCCTCCGAAGGGATCTACAGATTTGTTTACAAGATGGCAGGCTAGTGTTTAAACATTATGATTTTTAAATTAGAAGTGGTAATGAATCAGAATCTAGTTAAGAGCATACGCTTCCAATCCCTCATCACCCCAATAGCCTACCCCAGAGAAGACTCTCCTACAAGTTTCTGGTTTTAGTTCTCTGGTTTCTGCTAATTTTAAGTAAAATGTTTTTTATTTCTCTCTCTCCCAGTTTATTCATTTTAGATACAACCCATTGACTCTCCAACTCCCTGCCTTTCCTAATATATATATATATTGTTGTTTCAAAGTTTTTGTTACTTTTTAAATGTTAAATGATCTTTAAATTTTTTCTCCAAATCCTCGTTGGACATTGGACAGCATCTCCTCCGGCTTCACTATAACACAAGCCTATGGGTGCACCGACCCCTTTCTCTATCTGTATCCCTTCCTTCCATCTTGTACCTAGTATCAGCCACAGCTGCCACTTGTTTTTTCTTCAGAGTAACTTTTTATTTTTATTTATTTATTTTTTTAAACATTTATTTATTTATTTTTACATATTTTATTGATTTCCCCCTCCCTCCCTCCCACACATCCCCTCCCTCCCCAGAGTTTTATGTTCATTGGTTGTACTTATATGCATGGATATAAGTCCTTCAGTTGATCTATTATCTCCCCCAGATCCTCCTCCCCTCCCTGCTGAAATTTAACAATCTGCTTGTTGCTTTACTGTCTCTGTATCTATCTTTTGGTTCATCAGTTTATAATGATCTTTATTATCCACAAATGAGTGAGGTCATGTGGTGTTTCTCTTTCATTGATTGGCTTATTTCACTCAGCATGATGTTCTCCAATTCCATCCAGGTTGCTGCAAATGATGAGAATTCCTTGTTTTTTTTATGGCAGCATAGTATTCCGTTGTGTAGATGTACCATAGTTTTTGGATCCAATCATCTGCTGACGGGCACCTAGGCTGTTTCCAAATTCTGGCTATTGTAGATTGTCACAGCTGCCACTTTTACATCGTCAGGAGAAGTAGCATTTATGTTCTTTCTTGCAGCCACAGACATAGTTAACCACAGGATGTCTCTAAACTTTGAAACCAACACATAGCACTTGCCTTATAGGACTATGTTAATATTGGGTGTCCCAAAATATATATACACACTTCTTTTTTCAAAGCTTAGTCAGGCTTCACCCTTTATTTCAAATCAGTTAACCTGAAAGGAAGTGAAAATTAGGTGAGTTATCAGATGTTAAAGTGTATACACATTATTTTTTGATACCATAATTATAAAGGCAGTGTTTGTATTTAACTGCATTTTCAAATTTCCAGTAGCATTTTAGGATGAATTTCCTTTGTTCAACATTTAGTCTGGCTGCAAAGAAGAGAACATCAGTTGAGCGATATCAACTGTAAAGTGGGCGCTCATGTTTTGGGACACCCTGTATTGTTCAGTGCTGGTCCAAGTAGTCTGATAGGTTGCGTGTCCTTCTCTGAGGTAATATCACCTTGGCCATTTTCAGGAGCATCGAGGACAATTAGAATAGCTTTCCTTACACTTTATATTACTTAAGTTCATGCCATATTGCAATTGGTTTTATATTTGAATCATGGTTCACTTGTATATTTAAAAAAGTATTTTTGAGTTTCTCATTGCCATTTTTCTTGCACTGCATTGTTTTCTGGGACCAGGTTCTTCAACTAACTGGTGAAAATGAAATGTACTTTTTTGAAAATAGGTTCCTTTAGGGAATTGTCCCAGACCTCTGAACTGTAAAAACAAAACAAAACAAAACAAAACAAAACAAAACAAAAAAAACACAAAACATTAAAATGAGAGAAGCTACATTTCAAATTTCTAACCCTTCCATACATACACACAAACATACAATCATAGGCTTACCGAAGGTGGAATCAGGGCCTCACACATGTGGAGAGCTCCCAGTAGACCCTCTTCAGCTGCTCCACAGTATGGCTAGGGCCACGGATGGAGTCTGGGACTGGTGCTGAGACCCTCACTCGAGTAGGTTCCTCCTTGTCCAGCTGTCTTGCTGGGGAAATAAGTTTTCTCAGCCACTGGTTGGGGAGTAAATATAGAGTTTTAACAGCTCCTTGTCCATAGTCAGAAAACAGATCTAAACAGGAGGAAATGCACTAGCAGGATCTCACAGCCTTCCTGGCTGGCTGCATCTGAAGTGGTGTGAATGGGAGTGCTTGTCACCTTGTCTGAAAGGCTGCAGCTGTTCGTGGCTTCTTTGACTTCCGGGTACTTCTGTACACAGCTTCCATTGATGGCCTTGCCAAGTCATCTTTCTTGAGTTGTTCAGTTTAGTACATAAGCATTTTTTTTTTAAATCAAGGATTTTTCCTGTTTTGTTTGTGGGGGTTTTTTTTGTTTTGTTTTGTTTTTTGTTTTGTTTTGTTTTTTTTGCCAGGGATAAACTTGGAAGGATTAGTACTTTTAGGATACAAAGTCAGACTAAAAAATTATTTTTGTGATGCATCCTGCTTATTTTCCCCTTGGTTTTAGGAGCTGGAAATCCAGAGTGCAAAGTTGCAATTGTTTTGGGAAGAACTAAAAATGCCACAGCCGCAAGGTAATAAAACAATTGTGATTGAGATCTTTGTAGGAGCACAAGTCAGTCTTCCTCCCTATCCGTTTCATTTACTTAAAATGCACCATTTGGGCTCATAAATCATAACAAAATATATTATGATATTGAATGTCACACATTCGCATTTCACTAATTTTTTGCTTAAAGATATATTTAGGACATATTTTAGGAAATGTTGCTGTACATTCTTCACTGTGGCAATTCCTGTATTAAAAGTTGTCGCTACTTCCCAAAGCTTTTTGGGTCAGATTACAAGACATAAAATTTTTCAGAACTGTCTGTAAGTAATTAAGTGATATTCAGATCAAACTCTTGAAATGTTTAACACTGTATATCAGTTCCCATTGTTGCACAATGAGAAGCCTCATTTACATAACTTTCACTATTGTTCCAGATCCCAGCCTGCATCCGACTGCTGGATATATTATTTTTACACCCCGTTTTAGACTTCATTACTTAAGTGATTATATGATGGCAACAACAAAAATGACAGTCATAATTCCACCTAACATCTGTTTTATTTTTCCACTTCACAGACTTCTCCTAACATTTTTTTCTTTTGATCAGACACAAACAACACAGCATGATCCTTGTTCCTCTCAACACACCTGGAGTAGAAGTGATAAGGCCTTTGTCAGTTTTTGGCTACATGGGTAAGCGCTCCATCAACACGGCTATGCTGGAAGACTGGAGTGTGTAGTTAGACTGAAGGGGAACAGATTGCATTTTAATGTAGGACATATGTTCTTAGAAGTCTTTTGGCCCTAACGACTGCCTTAATATAAATGCCAACAAATAAAGAGAGAGGTGGTGCATTTTGTTTACTTTGGGGAAAGGGTGTATTCCAGGAACAACTCTGACTGCCAGCCTTCTGTCATCCAGGAGGATGGACCAATGTAAAATATACCTAGAAAAATGAAATCTAGGCAATCCACAATAACATTTATTTTTAGCTTTCTTAATCATCCTATAAGAGCTGTTAGTAATGAGTTTTGACTGAATTGAATGCAAAACTTTTCCTTCTGTCCTTGCATGAAATTTCTAAGAAGAAACGATACCTTTTTAAAATATATATATATTATTTTTTAAAATATATATATATTATTGATTTCAGAGAGGAAAGGAGAGGGAGAGAAGGATAGAAACATCAATGATGAAAGAGAATCACTGACCAGCTGCCTCCTACCTGCCCCACACAGGGATTGAGCCTCAGCCTGGCCATGTGCCCTGACTGGGAATAGAACCGTGATCTCCTGGTTCATAGGTTGGCACTCAACCACTGAGCCATGCTGGCCAGGCAGCAAGGACACTTTCGTTACCTGCCACCTACATCAGGCTCATGACGTTGTTTCCTTGCTACTCAGGTCATTCACTCAGCAAGTATCTGAGTGCTGAACTGTTCTTAGTGCTTAGTGTACATTAGTGAAAACGAGAGTGACCTCTCATAGAGCTTACATGCTTCAGGGAGGAGACAAAGATTAACTACAAACATGTATAAAAAAAAAAAAAAAGGAAGAGTACATTAGGTAGCCTGGTGATTATATAGCAGTTGATATTGCTATGAAAAAGTTTATTGAATTTCTGGTTCTGTGGTGACACTGGCTTTCTCTTTGTTGTTGTGCAATGAAAATGTGCAAGTTTTGCTCTAGCTAGTATGGCTCAGTGGACAGAGCATCGGCTTGTGGACTGAAGGGTCCTGAGTTTGATTTCGGTCGGGGGCACATGCCCAGGTTGTGGGCTTGATCCCTGGTGGGGGGCATGCAGGAGGCAGCCAATCAATGATTCTCAACATTGATATTTCTCTCTTTTCCTCTTTGAAATCAATAAAAATATATATATATTTTTTTAAAAGTTCAAGTTTCGCAGAACATCTGACATGATCACCTTCTATGAGAATCGGCTATAGAATGCACCCACAGATGAAGCGTTGGTGAGAGGGGGATGAAGCAGCTCACCGAAGCAAGTTGTGCACAGGAAGTTAGGTAGCAGACCAACAGCCTGAAAGACTCCCACAATGGGCTCATAACATCGACTGGCTGCAAATACCCTCCAGTGCAGAGCCTGTGTTAGAATTTTCAGTATGAGAAATCCACCAGCACTTCTCCAACGCCCTATGTCCAAGGCCAAAAGAAACAGTGTGGAGAAGATTGATTACTAACCTCACTCTGACAGGAAAAGGGTGTGGGGTTAGCATGAGATTATCTCCAGAACTGGGCAGGAGGAGCAGTGCTGTAAGACAAGTGTGAATGTGTTCCCAGTCTCGGTGATAAGCCAGCATTTTCAAGAAGTGACACATTGTGATCAAGCCTACACTGCGGAAAACATTCCTGAAGGCCCAGCCTGCTTCATCTCCAGTGCTGAGCTGGCTGTGATAAGAAACTTAAATTACATTGCTCATTTTCAATTATTGAACTATTAGAACCTTTTTTTGTTCGGAAGCAAAATTTTCTTCAGAAGCCCATATAGAAAAAAATTCAAAGCAGCAGCAATAATAAAATAATCTGATTTGAGATGTGGGGCCATCTTCCCCCTTTTAAAAATACAGGTTTTTTTGTTGTTGTTTTTTTCCAATTGATTTCAGGGAGGAAGAGACAGAAACACCAAAGATGAGAATCATTGATTGGCTGCAGCCTGCATGGCCCCTGTTAGGGATCGAGTCCACAAACCAGGCATGTGCCCTGACCAGGAATGAAACCGTGACCTCATAAGTCGGTGTTCAACCACTAAGCCATATTGGCCAGGCCCATCTTCCCTTTTAATGGTCCTACAACTCTAGGATAGTTCAAAAGCCGTGAGTCAAATTTATTTTTAAAAACTCTTGTAACTTGGCTGAAACCGGTTTGGCTCAGTGGATAGAGCGTCGGTCTGTGGACTGAGGGGTCCCAGGTTCCATTCCGGTCAAGGGCATGTACCTTGGTTGCGGGCACATCCCCAGCAGAGGTTGTGCAGGAGGCAGCTGGTCAATGTTTCTCTCTCATCGACATTTCTAGCTCTCTATCCCTCTCCCTCCTCTCTGTGGAAAATCAATAAAATATATATATATATATATATATATATATATATATATATATATATATATAAAATAAAAAAAACTCTTCTAACTTGAACATTTGATGAGTGTTCTAGGGCACGGGATTCTAGGGGCTGGCTCAGGGCTCCGATCTACCTGGGAATGTCTGTGCCATATGAGGCTTTTAAATCCTACTGTCTAAGTAATTATACTTCAGATTAATTATATGGAACTATTTTTTTTTTTGTTAACTCATTTTGTTCTTTAAAATTTTATTTTCTAATTGATAGATTATTTGCATGGAGGACATTTTGAGATCCATTTTAATCAAGTTCGAGTTCCTGCCACCAATTTAATACTAGGTGAGAAAAGTTTGCAAAAATGATTCTACTATATTGTGTATTAAAATATTTCCAGGTCTAAATAGGGAAAAGACATGAAGTCTGCCTTAATTTAGATACTCTCCCTCTTACTCCATTTACAAGGGAATATTATTCCACTTTGTGGATTTTCTTACATGGAAAAATGTTTTATTAGAGTGTTTGATTGTGGTTTTGTATCACATCAATTGAAAACATAAACAGCTATAGAATTCAGAGCCACATGCTTTTTCCTAAAACATGACCTCCAGGCCTCTGTTTAAGAAAACCTCAGAACTCTAAATTCAACTCTTACAAACACGTTAGAAGCATAAATAACCTAGAACACTGTGTGCCTGGAAGGACTCCGCCCTCCTGTTTACTGGAATCCTACCCTCCTTCAGAGAATTGCAGATGGCACCTCTTCTGGAAGGCTTTAGTGCTCCCCACCCCATCCACTCTGCAAGACCCAGGCCTGCCAGCCAAGGCTCCAGTCTCTTCTCCTTCGTCGCCTTTGTCCTCCACATCCTGTATTCCCACCCACCCGGTCTCCTCTTCTTGTCTCTAAACTCCTAGTGGCTAATCTTCCTTTGTAACATCATGGCACTAATAAATAGCTTATGCATAGTGGGTACTCAAGAGTTCTTAAATTTGATCACAGTGTTTAATGATGGCGATTTAAAAATCAGAGAAATCCAAGGTTCTGTAAATGTGTAATGAACCTAATTACAGAACTGACTTGTTTCCTACCAGAATGTCATTTATATTGAAGGGCAGCTCATCATTTTCTCAGGATTTGAGTAACTAACACAAGGAATGGGCTGCAGCTACTTTGCTCTTCATGTTTCTTTCTCACAGGGGAAGGAAGGGGATTTGAAATTGCCCAAGGCCGCCTTGGGCCTGGCAGAATCCACCACTGTATGCGGACTGTCGGTATGGCTGAGCGAGCTCTGCAGATCATGTGCGAACGGGCGGCACAAAGGGTGGCCTTTAAGAAAAAACTGCACTCACATGTAAGGACAATTATTTACTGTTTCAATCTGTTACAGCCCCATGCGCTACACTAACTTGGAACCAAAGCAGCATTTGGTCAGAGAGAGATTTCTTCTACATAAAACACGGTGATTCTTCCCCCCAAAGTACATTTATGTCTGTATTTAAATATAGTCTGCTGGGAGAGATTTACCTTTGTGCAAGATTAAGTAACTCCTAAAGTGCTTCAACACTTCAGCATGGAGAGTGTGGACCACCCTTCAGCTTTCTCAGATTCTCGTTCTCTAGAGATTCTGGAACATTATACTGTATGTGGACATGAGAAGGCTGTCATAGGAGGAGGGACTGCTTTGCTTTTGAATTTTTTGGAAGAATTAGTATAGATAAGTATAAAGATAGAGGAAAACAGCTTAAAATTCAGTGAGAGGAGAGAGATTTAAAAATGAAATGGATGCTTCAGGAAGAAGTGAGTTCCCTGTCACTGGGAAATGTAAGTAGACAAGGAACCAATAGTTGGTGGGATATTCATGATTTTTAAAAAATTCTCTCTATAAATGACATACTACTGAGTCTGCTGTTTACAAAGCACAATCAAAATTAGAGAACATTTATCATGAGAGAAGGTATTTCAGATTCCTTGAAAACCTTTTTTTTAAGTATATATTTTTACTGATGTCAGAGAGGAAGGGGAGAGGGAGAGATAGAAACATCAATGATGAAAAAGAATCATTGATCGGCTGCCTCCTGCACGCCCCACACTGGTGATTGAGCCACAACCCAGGCATGTGCCCTAGACTGGAATCGAACCTGGGACCCTTCAGTCTGCAGGTTGATGCTCTATCCACTGAGCCAAACCAACTAGGGCTGAAAACTTGCCTTTAAGGTAAGTAGGATATCCAAATCATCCTCAGAAAACCCTTCTAAGTTTTAAGAAGACAAAATTATCGTTAAATATTTAATACTTAAATTGCTGACATATTAATATAACTTACATTGTGACAAAATTTTACTTGTGTTTGTTGGACAAATATATTTTAGGGCATTGATTTCCTTGTAGATTTGTTTTTCACTTTAAACTTTTCTGTAGGCTATCTTTGCTTTTTTGTGAAATATTTCCAGCAATATATTTAGTCATAGCATTGTTCTTTTGGAAAAACACAGCCTGCTTTGTGGCACACACAGAGGAATCATGCATGGGGAACCCCTTTAGTACATGGCCGGGGCAAGGGTTCGGAGGTAAGAAGGTGTGAATTTGGGGGCCGTGGATGCCACTCCACACTGCTGCTGGCGTAGTAGCCACAGCGCTGCTCATGGCACCAGCTATCACTTCTTACGCTTTCTCCTTCCAGGACTGCATCCAACCCCTGGAGCAGGGTGAAGGGAGGACACAGAAAGGTTGGGGGACAGCATCTTGAATACACAAAAGCACTCTGCTCGGTTGTTGCTTTCATGAGAGAGGTTTCAATACTGCACTACAGGGACATTTCCCTCCTGCTCTTTAAAATTAATGTATCAAGTAGAGCAAGCCTGGGCTTTACCAAGGTATGACTTCCTGGGACCTTCTTGATTTGACAGAAGTAATAAAAGATGTGTAAGCGTATCAACAAAAATCCAGGCCAGCCTTTTCTTTTTTTCTAATTTGTGAAAGTAACATTCGTTTTCCCTGAATTTGGAGACTCCTTCCAGCTGCCTTCTAAACATTCCAGGCGCTAAAGCTAGCAGCTCTGTATTAAAGTTCTGTCTTAATAACTAATCTGGCAATTCCGTAGAGCACTCAGTTTCTACCCACTGAATCCTTTTCAGCAAATCCCCAGTCTGTAGAGTCCCAACTGCACACACATTCCTTTGTGCTGAAGCTAGGCAGCCAATTCCTCTGGGTCTGTCTGTGAAGTTAGGATCCCGTTTCAGACCATCAAAAAGGATACTCAGCACTAGTGGCTCATATGAAGTTGTCAGTTCAGAGCTTGTTCCAGCCCCTAGGGTAGAGCCATCTAATAGAAATAGATTGTGTCACAAATGCAATGTAAAATTTTCTAGTTGCTACTTTTTTAAGGTATAAAGAAATAGATGAAATTGATTTTAATAATTCTATTTAACCTAATATATCTAAAGTGTTATTTCTTTTTACTTTAAATCATTGATATTTTCAATTACTGGTGACATACAATATTGTATTAGTTTCAGGTGTACAACCCAGTGATTAGACAGTATATAATAACTTAGTGATCATTTTGATAAATCTCATACCCATCTGACACCTTACATAATTATCATATGCTGTACTTCACATCCCTGTGACTATAACTATCATTTTGTATTTTTTAATCCCTTCACCTTTTCCTATTCAGGTCCTCTGCCCCTTATATAATTTTTTTTATGTTGAGCTGTTTAAGTTTGGATATTAACCACTTATGGGCTTTATCATTTGCAAATATCTTCTCCCATTCAGTAGGTTGCCTTTTTTGTTGTTGGCTTTTGTGGTATAAAAGCTTTCAGCAATTTGATGTAGGCCCGTCTGTTTATTTTTGCCTTTGTCTTTGTCCCCAGGGAACATACCCAAAAATATTGCTAACATCAGTATCAGAGTTTACTACTGTTTTTTTTTCAAGGGGTTTTACGGTTTCAGGACTTACACTTAAGTCTTTAATCCATTTGAGTTTATTTTTATATATAGTTTAAGAAAGTGGTCTAATTTCATTTTCTTGTATTTAAGTTTTCCCAACACCATTTATTGAAGAGATTGCCTTTACCCCATTGTATATTTTTGCCTCTTTTGTTGTAGATTGACCATATAGGCATGGGCTTATATATGGGCTATCTATTCTGTTCCATTAATCTATATGTCTGTTTTGATTACTATAGCCTTATAGTTTGATATCAGGTAGCATGATACCTCCAAATTTATTCTTTTTTCTCAAGATTCTTTGGCTATTCGGGGTCTTTTGTGGTTCTTATAAATTCTAAGATTATTTGTTCTAGTTCTGTGAAAAATGTCACTAGTATTTTGATAGGAATTGCATCGAATCTGCACATTGCTTTAACAATATTAATTCTGCCGAAACCGGTTTGGCTCAGTGGATAGAGTGTCGGCCTGTGGACTGAAGGGTCCCGGGTTCGATTCCGGTCAAGGACATGTACCTTGGTTGTGGGCACATCCCCAGCAGGGGGCATGCAAGAGGCAGCTGATCGATGACTCTCTCATGGATGTTTCTAACTCTATATATAAAATATATTTAAAAAAAAAAACCAACAACAATATTAATTCTTCCAATCAATGACCATGGAATTGCCTTCCATTTTCTTGGCATTTCTAAGTTACTGGCTTCTTCAGCCCCAAGTCTGAGATACATGAGGTAAAAAAGAAAACCCAGGGAAGTCACCACCAAGTAGTTCTTTTCGTCTGAGGTTTCTAATAGCAGGTCTGCCTTCTCTCGGCCTTTTCGAATCCTCTTAAATATAGATAATGCCCCACGTTTTTAGTTGTACTTAGCAAGAGCAACAGGGTAAATTACATCTATGTCATGTTCCTGGAAGTACCATTTTCACAGTCTGTGTTGCTTCTCCATAACTCACAACGCAGAGCTGTCTGGGAAAAGCTGGACTGGAGAGGGCTAAAGTGGAATCTCCTTCACTCTGGGCCTTGGGATACAGTCAAGCATGTATCCAAAGCATATAAATATAACAACTTAGATGAATTGGATTAATTCCTCAAAAGCCACAACTGCCAAAATCATGAAAGGTAAAATAGATCATCTTTATGGTTCTACAACTAATAAAGAAGTTATATCAAATGAATAAACTATATATATTCTGAAAGATATATAGAGTAAGGCTTGGAAACAGCCCTTGGACTAGTGTTTTCGCCAAACTACTAGGGTGCATTGCATGTGACATAAGATGCCGGCTTATCTCCGTCTTTTGCTGCCCTTGGCTCCCCTGCAGGAGGTTGTGGCTCACTGGATTGCTGAAAGCCGCATTGCCATTGAAGAGATCCGCTTGTTGACCCTGAAAGCCGCCCACACCATTGACACGCTGGGCAACACTGGCGCTAGAAAGCAGGTGAGGCCCTTGTAGCAGCCATATGTCAAGCCTGCTCTAGATTCTCCCTCCCTCTGGGCACTGCGGGATGTGTGGTGCCTAGATGGCATTCAGAAGCTTCCCTGCGATTTTGGTTCAAATATTATAGATGTATGGCACTTGCTTTAGGGAAGGATTTTCAGGATGCAATGTATCTTCAGCGTTCTTTTGTTTTGTTGTTTGTTAATCCTCATCCAAGGATATTTTTCCATTAACTTTTAGAAAGAGTGGGAGGAGAAGAAATACCGATGTGAGAAAAGACACATCAGTTGGTTGCCTTCTGCATGTATCTAGTCTAGATTCTAGACTCAGGCTGGGGATCCAACATGCAACCGATGTATTGTACATGTCTGTGACCAGAATCCAACCTGGGATCCTTCAGTCTGTGGGCCATTGCTCAATCCATTCAGGCAAACTTACTAGGGTTCTTCAGCATTTATATACAACAAGAAAAAGTAGGAAACCCTAGATTTTATACTGGGCTTGTGATTGTATACACTATCTCCCTTTTTGCTAGCTTTGTGGCCTTGGGCACAATATCTAACCTTTCTGCCTGGGGCCTAGGGTTCTGGTGAAGCGTGGCCAAAATGATATAAAATACACAGCACTGTGTATATGTTTCATAAAACATCTTGACCCTTCCTTATATGAATTAAGAACATGATCACTTATTTCTAAAAGCCAATCAAGTTGCTAAGAGAAACAGATTATTGAAAACTCTTGAACTTATTTTATGATCCCTAAGGTGATGAATGTAATGTATCAGCTGCCTGAAATTCTGAAACAAGGCAAGGTATAAATAAATAGTGACTTAGAAGAGATACCTCTTTTCAAAAGATCCTATTGAATGAAATATGGCATGAGCTGCATTACAGCGGACTTCTCTGTTGGCTTTCATCAGATCCTGTTTTAGTGGTGAATGCCTGTGGAAAAGTTCCCTTGTTATCTCAAAAGAAAATATTGATCCTATCAAATTCTGCCACATGGTGTATTGTCAGAGAAAAGGACATTCTTTCTGTATCTTGCTTTTGTAGATTGCAATGATTAAAGTGGCCGCCCCTCGGGCTGTCTGCAAAATTATTGACCGGGCCATCCAAGTGTGTGGAGGTGCAGGTGTTTCCCAGGATTACCCTCTGGCTAACATGTGAGTAGGTGCTATTTCACAACCATCTATCTAGCTCTCTATCTCCTAGCCTATCTGCATTTGATAGGCTAGGAGTTAAAAATCTACAGCTGCCTTGACACTGTTTAAGAAGAAAAAGATACTAACTTACCTTAAAGTATAATTGAATGCTAAATAAAGTACTAATTCTAGACACTGCATGGGAGGTCAGTGCCAAACTGTCTAAGGTACGTTGGTACTTTACCCTGTTAACCGAGCGGGACCTATAAATATGTCAAACATAAACACTATCGGGAACGGGCAGGACATATGAATACGTCCTTGAAATATATGTTGCGCCCTGAGAGGGACGGTATATATTTTTTGTAATTTTTTAAAAATATGTATTTTTAAATATATTATAATTTTTTTAAAATAGATTTTCTTACAGAGAGGAAGGGAGAGAGATAGAGAGCTAGAAACATCGATGAGAAACATCGACCAGCTGCCTCCTGCACACCCCCCACCAGGGATGTGCCCGCAACCAATGTACATGCCCATGGCCGGAATCTAACCTGGGACCTTTTAGTCCGCAGACCGATGCTCTACCACTGAGCCAAACTGGCTTCAGCCGTAATCTTTATAATTGTTTGTAAAATTTATAATTTTGTATTTTACTTTGTGCTTTATACATAAATAAACAAAAAAATATATTTTATTTTAATTAAGTATAAATAAAAAAATAATATAAAATTAAGTCCGCTGGGTGTGATGTACTGACACGTCCTAGTGAAAGAGTATGCGCCCGTTGTACATTGTGTAATTAAAAAGGGAACTCCCCGGTTAACAGGTTAATATAGAGCTCAGTACCAAAAAAAATTGCTCTTATGATTACAACTAGAGGCCTGATGCACGAAATTTTGCAAGAGTAGACCTTCCTTCTCATGGCTGCCAGGACCAGCTTCTCTCTGGCACCTGGAACCCAGGCTTATCTCGCAACCCTGGCTTCATCTGGAGGAATGTCCAATCTAATTAGCATATTATGCTTTTATTATTATAGACTAGAGGCCTGATGCAATAAATTTGTGTAAGAGTAGGCTCTGTAACTGCCTCAATCTCTCAGCTGCAGTCCTGGCTTCGTCTGGACAGCCATTCAGTTGATTTGCATATTATGTTTTTAATATTATAGATGACCAATGCACTCAATTACATTAACTTTTACACTGGGGTTCATTCTGCACCAGGAAAAAGAGGAGGGGCAAGCAACAAGGCCAAAGGGAGCCCTGGGCCAGGCTTAGATACAGACTTAGGATGGCCTACCCCTCCACAGGGAGTTCTCGGTCCACTTTGCAGCAGTAGCTGCCAGTGACCATCTCCTGTTGATCTGGTTGCTGGGAGTCAGGAAGGAATGGATACCCACCTCCACTGCCACCACCTCTCGCACAGAAGCAGTGCCCCATCAAGTTCTGATCTTAAGAAAGCACTAAATATAGTGTTATATAGTTATGCTTGTGGCTTACCTAAGAGACCTCTCAGTGCTAGCATATTCTATAATAATAACCTACAGCAAACTGAGACTGAGATTAAGCCCGCTGCTCTGGACCAAGTCCCAAGGGAAGAACTTAAAAGGGCATTTCAGAAATCCTCGAGCTATGCTCTTATCACTGCCTTGGTCAGACTTTCAAAATTAATGGTTTTGGCTTAAAATCAGATGACTGGTGTGAAAGCATCATGTTCCTCTCTGATAACTCCTGCCATCCCTGTTTTTTGTTTTTCCAGGTATGCCCTCATGAGAACTTTGCGCTTAGCAGATGGACCAGATGAAGTCCACCTCTCAACAATCGCAAAACTAGAGCTTGCAGATCAAGCCAGGAGCCTGATGGCCAAGATGTAAGGAGGCAACACCCTCTCATCTCAACTGCCTGGGATCCAGAATTTGAATCACATTCTGTTTTTGGAGCAGTTTTAGCTCAGAGTAATTACTCATTTTTAGTAAAGATTTTAGGATCTTTTTAATCATTTCAAGGGTCACACAAGATTACATTAAATAAGAAATTTTAAAATGGTTATTCAGTCTAATACCTGTTTACTTGTTGAGTGTTTAAATACTAAATGTTGATGACATAATGAAATAAATTGGAGAGCTAACGCATAAGCATATTTTTATTCTTTGATTCTCAATAACTGCTCCACTTCAATAAATATTCAATCATTACTTCATAAGAAACATGGTGGTATCTCCTTTTTAATACCTATTTAGGGGTTGGTTTAGCACTGTGGAGTCACTGGAGAAAAATGCATGACCAATGGGTCATTTTAGAGTTCATATAAGCTTCATATTCAACAAAGCATTTATACATAAAATCTGAATGCAGTTTAAACTTTATTAGAAAACATGGCATATTATGAGACAGTCTGTATATATAAAAGCGTAATATGGAAATAGACCAGATGGCAGAACGACCAGTCGCTTTGACATGCACTGACCACCAGAGGGCAGACAACACAGAACCTGCACCCAACCAGCAGGCTCTGATCGCTCAATGGGGAACAGAGAAATGGGGGTGGGGAGCAGTGCCAGGCCATGGTTGGTGTGGGTGAGCGGGGCCCCAATCACCCCCCTGGTCACGCCATACACAGAGGGTGACCAGCGGGGGTCAGGGCCAGCTGCTGGCACCTGGGGAAGATGGGCCCAGATCACAGCCCAGGCCTAGAGACCCTACCTGTGCACAAATTTTGTGCACCGGGCATCTAGTGTAAGTATAAATATGTTGATGGGATAATGAATAGTTTAAGGTATAAGAAAGTTATTTAATTTTGAGATGAGATTAAAGACAGTCTGCTCTGAATGATATCCTATTGAGAGCAGACTTCCAGTGGCCCTTGAATCAGCTCTGTTCAATATGGCAGCCTTTGGCCACATGTGACTCTCAAGCACTCTGACTGTAGCTAGGGTGACTGAGGAAGTGTTTTATTTTTTTAAATTCAAATCCATTTTTAACTCACTCACTAGAAAATTTTCAAGTATGCTTGGAATAACTTGGTATGTGGATGGGTTTTTCAAATGTAAATTTCATGAAATTTACATTTGAATTAAGAAATAGACTAAGTATAGGCTCTGATCAGTGTTGCTCAGTGGCTAATGCCCTGGGTCGATCCCACATGCAAGAGGCAACCAATCTATGTGTCTTTCTCCCCCTGCCTAAAATTTAGTGGAAAAAATGTCCTCGGGTGAAGACTAAGTATGAAATACACACCAAATTTTGAAAACTCAATACTAAAAGTATTAACTTTTCTCACAGTAATACTTTTATCTGTTTTATCTTTTTAGTATGAAAGCCATTGGAATAGTAACTGTCAAGTTTTTAAATTTTCAAATGAAAGGACTTCTAAAAACTATAAAACTGTTGTATTAGAAAGCTCGCCTGTCACACAATGACCAGCAACAAGACCTGCGTTCTGGTTCCTTGTGTGTCAAGTGGGCTTCTGAAACATTTGCCTTTGACCCTGGACCTCTCTGCACATCATTTTTCTTTCTACACACTGGAATTAACTTTTAAACCTTAGGACCATTACCGTCTAAGGGTTTATTGTGACAACTGCTGAGGCCATATAGAAGCAATTGACATTTGTGAACCACAACGAAGTACTTTAAAACAGCAGTTGCCAACCTATGGTCTATGGACCACTGGTGGTCTGTGAGGTCCAAAAGGTTGGAGACCACTGCTTTAAAAGGTGTCCTTAACTAAAGTGGATGAAATCTTAACCCCTACCTTTAATTCATTCAGATAAATTGTTATGAACAATAGTGAGGGTTGGTTTGAAAGGGAAAATTCCAATCTCCAAAGGATAAAATAAGATCAAGCGACCCTTTGCCTCAGTCTCGGAAAATATAGGAGCCTCATAGCGATTTCTAGGATCTCCTCCAGCTGTTTCCAGGTGTCCCTATGCAGCAAGGTTTGCTTTGCGTTTGAAACCAAAGGGCTTTAAAATAAGAAGTTACTCAATGATACCTATGGTGGGAAGGAGAGAACTCACTGTCAGCACTTTGCCCTCCAGGATTTGTGCGTGGTCAACAGCAGAGAGGAGGGGCCTGGAAATGCCTGACAGGGAAGTTACCACGAGGCTCCACACACAGTGTCATGGGAAGCGTGGCAGGTCTTGTCCAGGGAGTGGAGGTAGTTCACATGTTAACCTTGGAGAACACACAATAGGAAGTTCAGCTGATGCTGGAGGAGCTGATACCTCAACAGCCTAGCGTTTCTCACAACGGCTTCCCCAAGGTCATATCACCCAGCTCTCCCCTCAGTTGTGGTCTATTCACACGTCAGAGGCCTGCTCATATTCTGTCCAAGAGCAGCATTTATGTACTTTGATGGATAGGTTGTGTAACGTTTACAAAAAAAACTCACTTTTTTTCATTCTTTAATTAAGCTACAGCAGTTACTGGGAAGTTACTTCTGAAGGGATTTAAATTAATGAAGGTCTTAAATATATTTCACTTTATAAAATTTTTTAATAAAATGTATTCATGAACAAATGCCCTATTTCAATCAAGCCAGATAGTCTTGGCCCAGTGTTTGGAGCATCAGCCTGCCCACCAAAGGGCCATGGGTTTGATTCCCAGTGAAGGGCACATACTTGGGTTGCAGGTTCAATCCCCTGCCCTGGTCGTGGTGCAAGCAGCAGGCAACCAATTGATGTCTGTCTCTCTCACCCTCCCTCTCTCCCTTCCACTCTAACGAATCAGTGGAAAAAATATCCTCAAGAGAGGATTAATACAAAAAAAAAGATTTACCCTGAAATTTCAGGAGACTGCTCACTTTTTTTGCAGAGTGGAGTGTCTCCTCTGTTCCTGGAACCGTACCTGATCTCCAGTGGCACCTAATATGGGATGACTGAATGGCAACTTGTGGGCCTTCCAAAGCCATCTCCAGGGGCTTTTCCATAAAAATGACCTGTCTTGGCTCAAAGATCCACAAACCCCCAACATGAAGCGTCTGGCCTGGGCATGCCACATACCTCTTGCTAAGTGTCCCCAGGTCCAGCACTAGCAACAGCCGGCCTTGGTTCACGCTCGGCCTCTCCTGCGTACCTGCAATCACAGCATGAGTAGCAACCTTCTTTACATCACTCTGAGGCTCAGACCAGGTAGTGCCGGATTCAATGTTGGTCAGGGTGCACACCTTGGTTGCAGGGTCCTTCTCACCCAAGCCCTGGTGGGGCCCTTGCAGGAGGCAGCCAATTGATGTGTTTCTCTCACATTGATATTTCTGTCTTTCCCTCTCTCTAAAAATCAATGGGAAAAAATATGAGGATTAAAAATAATAAAGTAAAATTACTATATAAAATTAAAAATTATTAAAAAGTATGAATGAATGAATGATGAGCATGGATGTTCTCCTGACTTCTGATTTGCAATCGGTGAGAGGAAAAAGCATTGGTTTATCAGTCTGCAAAAGAACAAAGCAGAAAGTGGGAGCCCCAGCCCCTGATCACAGAGGTTGGGCAGCAAGCCCCAGAATGGGGCACAAGTAGCTATAGGAAAACGGGGGCTGAGCTAGGAGCAAATAAGTAGATGAATAGCTCTTTAATGAGTATTTAGCAACCCAGGGAAATGCACATCTACTTTCCTGGTGCTACAATCAGCTCTAGGTTCTGAGGGAAGTCAAGATACCTAAGAAAAACAAAACCATTCTTGGTGATGGCTAGAATTTTCCAATTGCCCAAGCAAACAGGATTCCGGGAAGTGTCCCCACTTAATTCAAGGCAGCCAAAGAACACGTAGGGTTTATGATCCTGCCACAATATTTTTATTTCTCTTTTTTTATAAATCATCATCTCTTTCTCATTGTGGTGGTTTATACTCACCGGCCAAGACAACCTAAAGCCATACTTCTCCACCCTGGCTGAGATCAGAACCCCCAGGGAGCTTGGCATGGACCCCGCTGCCCTGTCCCAGCCCCAGTGTGTGATGTCAGTGGTAAAAAGATGTACCAGGGATTCTGGTGAAACAAGGGTTGAGGGTAGAGACTCCCTGCCAAATCCTAATCAGGTCTGTTAGGATGTTTGATTGCAAACACCAGAAGAGGTGGGCTAATGTGAGCCAAAGGGTCTCAGGTGGGTGTGGAGTTGGAGCTCAGGGAGTGAGTCTAGAGAATCTCACCCAGACACGGAGGGAGAGCGACCCCTTCAGGGGCTCACCTTCCTCTGACCTGCCCACCGGTTGTCCTTGGCTTGTCTGCTCAGGCTCTGAGGAGCATCTGGTTGTGCAAACTCAGGTTACAGGTTCATGCCAGCCTGTTCTGGAGTAGGAGAGAATTATAATGCAAGCCACAAGGGTGATTTACAATTTTCTAGTGCCACATTAAATAAGAAAAAAGAACTGTGTGGAATTAATTTTAACGCATTTTATTTAACCTAATATATCCAAGTATTATTTCAACATGTAACCAATATAAAAAATTACCAAGAAGGTATTTTATTCTTTTCCTCCATATCCAGCGTATAGTTTACATTTATAACACATCTTAATTTGGAAGCTGAATTTTTAAATGAAAATACTTGAACTATAAAAAGATGACAGGCCTGGCCAGTGTGGCTCAGTGGCTGAGCATCGAGATATGAACCAGGAGGTCACAGTTCGATTCCGAGTCAGGGCACATGCCCGGATGCAGGCTCAATCCCCAGTAGGGGGCATGCAGGAGGCAGCAGATCAAGTATCAGTGGTCACCTGCAGCCAGTGGCTATGGTAGTGGACAGCATGACTGTCTTTTTAACAGTTGGAGAAGTCACCAGGATACCCTCCCCACAAAGTCACACTCAGTGGGGGAAAGGCTTGGGCATTAATAGAAATGGGAAAAAGTGGATACTACCCAGCCCAAACCAACTGTTCTCCAGTGATTTTAAACCTCTCATGGTTTTGTCTGGGGAAGGAAAAAGTGAACTCCAGCACATTTCCTATATTTAAAAAAACAACTCAGTACAACAAGGAATTCATTGCTAAGTATTTTGAGCTTACCAGGGATCCTACCCTGTTTCCCCCAAAATAAGACAGTGTTTTATATTAATTTTTTCTCCCAAAGTTGCACTAGGTCTTATTTTCAGGGGATGTCTTATTTTCGGGGAAACTGGCATTTGTTCAGGGCGGTCAGGGTTTCCAAATAGAAACAAAAGGTTGGCTCTAATCCAGGGGGGGAAGAGTATTATCTCAGTCTATTAAGGTTACGTGGTTGACTTCTAAGCCAGAGTCCTCACAGCTTGTTGGGAATGAATAACGATCTTGTTATGGAAAAAGGAGGCATTCTTTATAAAATTCAAAATTGCGATCATCTATTATTCTCTCCCACCCATCCTCTGCAACTTTGTTTATGATGAGATTTTTTGGCTTCAGAGTGAAGGGTCCCCAAATGGCTTAATTGCTGCATTTCATTCTTTTTAGTCTGTCTCTGTCTGCAAGATGCTAAATGAACTTTCCACTATCAGGGACGAAGCCATGAATCCCTTAACATGTATTGTTTTTTTTAAAAAACTTAGTTTTATTTTTAATCAAAGATGTACAAGTCAGAGTTCAACAGTCAAATCACCAAAGTCAGTGATGAAAAGCATCAGCAGTTCCTCCTGCCCACCCTCCCACAGGCAACCTTAAATACATTAAATAAGCTTGGCTATCTATTTCTAAGTAATGCAACTAAGCCACTGCTCATCTCCGTTTCTCTTTCAAAACATTTCAAATCTTCAGAAAAATTACATGCAGAGTATAATTGTTACAGAAGGCAGCTTGTTAATATTAACAAAAGAAAAGGAAGCCAAACATCCAACTAAGATGGATTAACTAGGAAGCTAGTTCCACAGAAACTCCAGGGAGCAGCAGCATCGCCCCGCCAAGAGGGAACAACCTGTCCGCTCCTCCAGATTAATGGGGGAGAGAAGAGGGACAGGGGAAAGGGGGGGAGAAAGAGAAGGGGAGGGGGCTGGTGGTATAAACAATGTGGGGGAAATTCCTCTGCTGAGGAATGCACAGTAGGAGCCAAAATGGTGACCACAAAGGGAGAACCTGGTAAAAAGACCAGATAAGGGCATAAAACCCTGGAAAATCCCAGGAAGAGATTGGAAGACATTTGAGAAACAAGGTTTGACTGTACATTGCTATACTTTTATACTGCTTCTCATTGACTGTTGTTATAGCCATTACCGAGTTCCTTTGTTTTCAAATAACCAATTCGTTTGATTAAAACTACAACAGTAGGCTATTACTAATGAAAGGAAATCATGCAGATGTTCTAAATGTTGACATGACGGTCTCTAATTTAGGTCCTTTGGGTATCAGTGTTCTCTCCAGCAAGTCGTCTGTTGATTATTTCAATTTCTTATTTTAAAAAATTCATGTTGTCTTTCACCTTCTCCGCCCACAAAGTTACATACTCTCTCACACAGGCTATTTTTTACTCCCTCAATATAATCACACTAGAGGCCTGGTGCATGCAATTTGTGCACTGAAGGGGGGATCCCCTCAGCTCAGCCTACACCCTCTTGCAGTCTGGGACCCCTCAGGGGATATCCGCCTGCTGGCTCAGACATCCCTCTCACAATACGGGACATCCTGCTCCTTACCACTGCTCGCTGCTCCTGCTCCTGAGCGCTGCTGCCACTGCACTTACCAGCTGTGGTAAGCTGGTTTCTGGCTGTGCTCACTGACCACCAGGGGGCAGCTCCTGCATTGAGCATCTGGCCCCTGGTGATCAGTGTGCATCAGTGATGGGTCGTTCTGCCTTAACAGTTGCTTAGGCTTTTATTATATTGACTAGCACCATAATTATGTACCTGTCAGTCAGAGCTTTACCTTATTGTGCTGTCTATACTATGATTATTTTGCTGTCTGACTCTTCCAAACTCTTCTCTCAGGTACATCAATATCCTTCCTCTAAGTATATTCAAACACATAGGTTGTCTACCAATTTCATCCTCTTGAATTTGTTTCCAGTGCTTCTGACCTGCTCCAGTCTAGTCTGGTCTGGTCATACTCTAAGTCAGCTGCAGGCTGTTGTCTCCACTTAGGATCTCATCTCATCACTATTTGGAGAATCCAGCTTCTTTCCTCAGGAGTTTCTTATAAAACATTCATGGGATGCTGTAACCGGTTTGGCTCAGTGGATAGAGCGTCAGCCTGCAGACTGAAAGGTCTCAGGTTCGATTCCTGTCAAGGGCATGTACCTTGGTTGCGGGCACATACCCAGTAGGGGGTGTGCAAGAGGCAGCTGATCGATGATTCTCTCTCATCAATGTTTCTATCTCTCTCTCTAAAAAAATCAATAAAATATATATTTTTTAAAAAACCATGGGAGGTAAACCTGAGACTTGTGCATTTGAAATGACGTTCAATCTGTAGTTAAACTGGACCTAGAATCTGGGCTGGGAAACCATTTCCCCTTAGACCCTGAAGGCATCATGCTCTGTCTTCTAATGTTCAATGTTGTTGAGAAATCCAGTGTTACTTTGCTCCCGTTCCTATCTAGGAAATGCTCTCCCCTCCTCCTGACACAAACTGGAAGCTGTTGGGACTTCTTGTTTTCATATTGTAGTTTCACAATGACCTGGATTTGTTTGGGCTCATTCTCATTCATGGGCTGGACACTCAGTAGCATACTCCTCCTTTTTGGGAAAGTTTTTGAAATTTTCAGTGTGTCCTCCACCCATTTAGGCAGCTTGGGCTGCTATACCAAATTTCCATAAACTAGTGGCTTAAAACAACAAACATTTATTTTTCAAAGTTCTGGAAGCTGAAGTCCAAGATCCAGGTACCAGCAGGTTCAGTATCTGTCCAGGGCTCTGTTTCCAGTTTCCAAATGCTGCTTCCTCACTGTGTTCTCACAGAGTGCTTTCTGGGGTCTGTTTGGAGTACACTAATCCCATTCATGAGGATTCAACCACCACCAAAGGCCCTGCATCTTAATACCATCATCTTGAGGGTTAGATTTGGGGGGCACACATTCAGTCCATAACATCTCCTTTTCAAAACCTAAACCTCCTTCCTGGACCTAGTCTTTTTGCATAATGGGCCTCTGGGATCAGGCCTCTCATTTAACTGTCTCCTCTTTTTCCAGCTGTATCTTATTATTCCGCTTCAGGAAATTTTCTTCAACTTCATCTCTACCATAATTTTTTTTTTTTTAATTTATGACTTGGTTTTAATTCTTGAAAAAAGGTATTCTTAAGTGGTATCCTGTTAGTTTTTGTGGATGTAATGTTTAAACCTTACCTGTATTAATGATAGCATTCTTTCCCAATGTTTCTTCTTCCTTCATTATCTTTTCTCCTAATCACCTTTTTTCCTTCTCTCTCTTTTGCTCCCTTTTGGGCTTCTACTCCCGTCTGGCGGCACACACTGGTGTGCTTTCACCCCAAGGCCCGATTTCAAAGGTGTTCCACCAGTTTAAGCTGCTCTAGAAAGTCCCAGTCACTTAAAGGATGTGGTTTCATCCAGCTCTGTAACAACTGATCAGGTTTTTTGCTCTAAACTCAAGCAGCACATAAATACTCTGAACTCATCTTGATCTCTTTAAGGCTGACAAGATAGTCCCTACCCAATTCCTACATTTAAAGCCAAGAAATGGCTCCATCCTGTTTTTGGAATACTAGGAAATCAGACACATTGATAAAAAGGCTCTGCTGAGGCCTGTAAGATATTAAAGTGTGAGACTGGGGTTTGAGCTTGACGTTCTAGTTGAAGTAACCTCAATGAATTTATCTGCAACTAAATATTTGCAGAATTGCTTCCATATGACCTTTCTTTTTGAAGACAAATGACTCATTCCTTCACTAATTTAAGCCACATCTTCATAAACTTTGGCCTGAAATCAGATGACTAAGGATATGGGTTCCTCCTTCCTGCTCACAGACACTGCCAGACTTGCAGGGGCCAGGAAACGAGGCACATGTTCCTCACAGGCATCACATTTTACATTTACGGTCATTGGAGAACTGGAAACAGTGACTGCGTTAACCTTCTTATATAAGCCATATACCTTCTCAATGTTAAAAATGTAAGCATAAGCATTAGTTCCTATTTACATATTACTAAGACTTTCATTAACATATCTGGGTCTTCCTCTTCTCTTGCAAAGTTACTTCCCAGATCTACAGGAGACCACTGCAACGGAGGTATTATGACCCCCATTTAAGGTCACACATTAAGAGACAAACTAGCCGGGATGGCCCCCACTCCAGAGCTCAAGCTGGCTCCGGCATAACTAGCTGCCTCTCCCTTACTCTCATTTAAACAGACCGGGTGACAAAACCACAAACAAGTGAGACACAGAATTCAACTCTTAAGTCCACACAACCACTTGAAAGAAAATGACAATAGCCAACACAGTAACTGTCCATTAATGAATTAATGAAAACTATACCTCTTTTTTGTCAGATTGGTGATGAATATATGTTGGTAAACCATAGAATTTTTGTCATTTGTGTGCCATCAGATAAAAAAAATTGAAAATCACTGGTTTAGATTACAAAGTTTATGTTATGTGTATTTTATCACATTAAGCAATTTTAAAAAAATAGATTCAGAAACTAGACTGAAAAAGATGGAACATTTTTAACTTCAATAAAGATACAGATGACCCTTGAATAACACAGGAGTTAGGGCACCAACACCCCACAGTTGAAAATATGTGTGTAACTTTGGACTCCCCCCATATTTTACTAATAGCTTACTGTTGACTGTAAGCCTCACCAAAAACAGTTGATTAACATATATTTTGTATGTTATTCATATTAAATACTGTATTTTTACAATAAGATAAGTTAGAGAAAAAATGCCAAGAAAGTCTTAAGAGAAAATATAGAGTATCGTACTTATAAGTACTGTAAGTTTATGTCACCTGTTTACAGAATGAATCATGTTAGTACCACATTTTTCCATGTATAAGACGCTATATTTTTCTAAAATCATTAAGACTGAAAATTGAGGGGCATCTTACACACGGAAGTAAGCCGAGGAGGCAGCCGAGTCAAACAGGCTTCTTCCAATCATGAGCCTTACTATTACTGATATCAGCTGATGCCCTAATTGGAGGTGGAGAGTGCGCAGCTGTACCAGGAGCTAGAGCATTCTGAGCCCATAAAGATGTCAAAAAATAAAAAGATAAATATCGGTGATTGTTTTACTCTGCAAAATTCAAACTGAATGTAATCAGCTATGCAAAAGAGCATGGAAGCAGAGCTGCAGAGAGACAATTTGGACCTCCTCCCACTGAGTGTATGACCAGACAGTGGAGAAAACAGCAAGAACAACTCCCTAAGATGGCAAAAAAAAAAGGCCTTAAGAGGAAAACCAGTAAAATGGGCAAACTTGGAGCAGAGGCTTAAGACTTGGATTATGGAGCAGTGCCAGAGTGGCTAGTTCAATGTCAGGCAAAACTGTTTACAAGCAAAATGAACATTGTTGATTTTACAGGAGTGGCAAAATTCCACGAGAAGGGTTGGCCATGAGAACACGAACAAAGTTGGCTCAGAAAATGCCACCAGTTTATGAGGATAATCTCACATATACAGACAATGACTCAAAAGATAGCAGTGATACAATAGAAGTTGAAGATGATATGTCTGGATCTAATAGCGATGAAGAGAGCAGTGATGCAACAGAGGCATCACATATAAAGTGATAGGCTGCATAATATAGTAGTGGTATGCAAACATTACCTGCAGTAATTACTAAATAAAAGCGTGTTCTGTTTTATGTTTAAAATATTGACTTCTTAATTTTTGGTTGGGGGCGTCTTACACACGGAAGAATATGGTACATCGATATTGTTTTACATGATTCAAAACACTGCTGATATTATACCTTTTACTAACACAATTATTAAAAATTAAAAGACGTGAAAAAGAAATTTACACTTATTTACAGGCATAACAATTCCTGAATTAATAATGAAGAAACAGCAATAGGATTCCTTTACGGTAGCCTAGGGTAATCAATGCAATTGCTTATGACAGCACAGCCTATATAACAATGAAAGCATCGTTGTAAAATTCTCATGGCACACAGTAGTACAGCCCGTCACACCGTAGTATTGGAAACATTGTTATATTAAACACACACACACACACACACACACACACACAAAGAAACACTTACCTGTGTTGATACTCTGATATGCAGTTTCTCCAATTAAAGAGTATGTAGTGTGATCCTTCAAAAGCAAAGTTACGAAATAAGAAAACACGTGATTAATTTTATATATATGACATCACTCACCTTGCCTGTGTAAGGTAGGCTATCCACTCTCATATACATCTTGTGCTTGATGTTCTACACAATGAAAATACTTTGGCCATGATGACAATGACCACACAAAGTCTCACATAGTTCCTGCCACATGAAAACACATAAAGTTGAAACAGTAAGTTTATTCATTGTACAATATGATGATCATTTGTTACTCAGCAAGTGGAGGTGGATTATCATAAAGGTTTTCATCCTCACATCTCCATGTTGAACAGGCTGAGGAGGAGGAGGAAGAGGTCGGCGGCTGCCTCTTTGATGGGCGGCAGAGGTGGAAGAAATGGAGGAGGTACAAGAGGAGGTGTAAAGGGCAGGCATATGCGGTTTAAGTTTAAATAAATACATGGCAATTTCTGTCTCACTTTATTCACTTCTCTAAAAATATTTCTATATGCTACCAACCCTCCACCATTTGCTTTTGTCTCAGCACCTGTATCCTGGAAGGGTCCATGTCATAAAAGCCAAAAGCAGTCTTGAATCATCAGAAACCTTCTGCCCGATTGATGTCAACACTTTTCTGGCTGCTGCTTTTATCTTCTTCACAGCCTGGCACTGGCTCAGAAACACTCAACTCCAAGTCGTCTTCTGTGAATTCTTCTGGTGTGGAATCTATGAGCTCTTTAATTTCTCCAAGATCCATATCCTGAAGCCCTTCACTACCCACCTTTGCCACATCCACAATCTGTCATGATTTCCTTGATCGGCCCTGCCATAAATCCTGTGAAGTCATGCACAGCATTAGGGCAGTTTCTTCAGAAGGAATTTGTTTCGGACTTGATGGCTTTCACTGCTTTCTCTATAACAATGGTGGCATCTTCAATGGTTAATCCTTACAGACTTTCATCATGTTCT